TACACAAATTCAAGTAACCAATTACAAGTACAACTGACAGGTTTTACAATCGTCAGTCCACATAATTCCTCCAGTTCTTCACCCCATCTTACCCTGTCCAGGCATGTGTGGAATGGAGCCAATCCTAGCTGTCTTCTGGCTAAGACTACTCAAGTACACAAAACTGGCTGCCAGTTCCTCAGATATGTTGTCTCATATTTACACATGCTAGAGTTTCAGATCTTGGCCTTTCCAACTTCCTCATTCCAAACCAAGTAAAACAGGCGTCTAAACGTTCACACAAGACGGAACATGCCAGAAACAGTCTGCAAGTTTATCCGACACATTTAGTGTCAAAGTGTCCACACTTTAGACTGGATTCAATCTTAAATCCCCCTTCTCAACTCTGTCATGCATTTTTAGTCTTCACTCCTTATGAGTGTTTATGTTATGTTAATTTATTTGGCAGACGCTTTTATCCAAAGCGACTTACAATTTATAACTTATAGGGCATGTTGTGATCTGTGGGGGAAACTGGAGTACCTGGAGAAAACCCACGCATGCATGGGGAGAACACACAACTTCACGCAGAAAGGCCGCAGCAGAGTTTCGAACCTGCAACCTTCGTGCTGCGAGGCAACAGTGTTAACAACTGCGCCACCGTGCAGCCCATGAGTGTGTGTTTGATAGGAATCATTTTAAAGTATGATCAAAACAGGATGAGTTCTTGTTTTCATTAGCGTGTGTGTGTCAAATTACACTTTTTAGCAGATGTCACTAAAGTATAACATTAAAATCAGTCTACTTACTGCTCAGAACCTTAAAAAAAACATGCAGGAGGCAGACAAAGCAGTCTCTTCTGCTTCTTGATCTGTCACTTCTCCTTGCTCTAGTAAGTTATGCAAACTGTTTTTAACAAATGACAGTTTTGGTAGGAAAGCCAAAAGCAGAAATGGTTATCAGTGTTACCTGCTCAAAATGGTAAGTTACAATGCAATGGGGGGGGGGGGGGGGGGGGGGGGGTTAGAAAATGATCACAAAAGGATTTGACTAAAAAGACAAAAGCTATGCAGGATAACATCTTTAGACAGGACTGGTCACCTCTTGAGCTGGTACAGCAGTGCTATATTTCACATAGAGTCAAAGCAAAGTGATGATGGGTACTTTTCCTGGTGATCAGGGGCAGTACATACCTAAATTATTGCAAGCAAGCAATATTTGTGTTTGAGTAAGACTTTACCAGTAGATGGCCATTAGGGTCAAAAATCCCTGGGAGTGTAACCTCTAGCAAAATGACAAGCACATTAGTCTCCCTTTCATCACTTGCAACAAGGAGAAAAGACGTAAATGTGTAAAACAATGTTTATGAATGGCAAAAGTTTCGTAACCGCTTGTTACAAAGCAGTAAATGAATTTGTCTTCACAGGCTCCCGTAGAGGGAAATATGGCGGCTAAGATGGTGTCACTCAGAGACTTACCCCTACTGCACACCGGAAGTATCGGCAGCGCGGAACGGCAGCAGAAACGTTTACTTGCGACAATTGCTGCACTCCAGTGCACATCAGGAGAGTCTCAGCCAAGAAGCAGCTTCTCAGCTGTGCTCCTCACTCGATTCACAAGATCACAAAATCCCTCGAGTTTATGCAGGCATTAAACCAGATATTAAACCCAAAAGAAGGAAATCACGTTTGATATCTGTATATGTCAAATGTGACGTAATCTACATAGATATGAAATTGAATTGCTGCAATAGACTTTTGGGGAAAATTACTGGGGATATTACACTGAAACCGTGTGTGATTTCTTGTCTAGCCCTAGGGTAACTGTGGAAATTGTCATGTCCCAGAAGCAGCTCACAGCAGAAACAGAACCTGTCCCCATCTGTAGCGGCGCAGTGCGCCACTTCTGGTCCGCTGATGCTTCCAACGTGCAGTAGGCTTTAGACCCGCTCCCATGTATTTTAGACCCAATTTTTATGGTTATATGTTATGAAGATCCCAATATTTTTCAACAAATGTGGATCATTAAATTCATTTTTAACAACATTTTGATTGATATTTCCAGAGATTAACAGTTAAAACTACACATTGTCACTTTAAGACTACAAACACATTCCACTTACATGTGAAACACAAGTTAAACATAATACAAAGTCATGTAACTCTGAATCTCTACAGAAGGCCCTGCTGCACTCACTTGAAGCCAACTCACCCCTGCATGTTATGCTAAGTTTTTCACTGCTTCCTGACCCACTTCCTCAATCCTCAAAGCCAAAGGAAGGCAGGCCGTACATTCTGAGGTGCTCTTGTGCTGCCCAGCATGCTGGAATTGATGCATCTGGGGTAACTAACAAATCTAAACAAGGTTATACTAATATTGACCCCAGGGTGTCCCATCAAACATTACCGCCTTTGAATCTTACAAAACATTTACCTTTGGGGACATGTTCATCCTCTTGGCACACGAATCAGTCATTACAAATCAAGCTTACCAAATTAAATCCATTGCAGAATTCAGACTGAGGTGTTTAAATTATTTAATGACAGGCAATTGGTGTCATTATCAATTTACCTAAATAAAACTGAGCCAAGGGTCAATTTTCAACAATTGCATTGACCTTCAAAATTTTTAAAACCTTTTAAATGGATCAGAAGTCCAGTTTGAGAACCAGTTTATGGGGGTGGGGGGTGGGGACGACTCGATCATGGATGTTTCAAGCTAAAACAGGAAGTGTCCATCAAAACATTGATGATTACACCTAGTCTTATTTAGGGACGTATCTTTGTTTGGTAAACCTTAAAATTCAGGAACAACAATATCAAATCATATCCGGTACCTGTTCAAAACAAATCTAGACCAAACCCCTCTTCTCCTGCAGGGAATAAATGGTTAATAAGTCAGTTGTAATGAATCCATTAGATATTTATCTCGTCTGCACTCACTGAGCATAACTTAAATATATTGTGTGATTTTGTACCTACGATCCTCCACGTGCTGTATTTAAAATAATCAGGGCCCGTGAACGATGCTGTGGGGACAGCACCATCAAATCAGCTGCTATAACCCCTTTCACCTTTCTCTTGCACACCACGATTATTTCTATATTTCTATAGGTGCGTGAATATGGAAGATAAGTATGGGAACATTCTACATAGAAGAAAGCTATTGTTCAGTTTGGAGGCAATGCCAGGGGCCAGGGCGCGGTTTGTGCTGACTGCACCTCCCGTCTATGTGGATCTATCGGAGATAAGTTTTCCTGCCGCACTACGGTTAGCTACCCCGCCCCGTTCAATAACGCACAGGAGCCAGTTTCATTTAACAAAGTTCTTTATAAAAGCGACCAAAATAATCAGCGTTAAAACTAATTTATTCGGATATCGATCAGAAACTTCTTACCGCTGTCAACTGGCTGTCGACGAAAGCTAATGCTAGCTAAGAAACAATTACAGAGTATCCCGATTCATTTTAGCTAGCGCGTGCACTTTCCTGTCTGGACTGCTGCGGTTAGAGGGGTAAACGAAGAGCAATCCAACCGTCAAAACCCACAGCGAAACACATCAAACAGCCAATTTCATTTGTGACATACCTTCTAAGAAGAAAATAAAGGTATTCCTGAAAGCTGAGCAACAGAACAGAGTATCCCAATTTATTCCTCCCTCTACTGGAGCCTCTTGCTGCTGCGCGGACACACAAGCTGTTCTGTCTACTCTCGCCACTGTGCTTCAAGCCCCGCCCCCGTGACTATGTTAACATGCGGATTGGATAACCTGGATCAGCTCTCATTTGACGGACGGGCTTATTAACTAATCATAGCGATGGAATAAATAAAGGAACCGGAGTTCACGCTTCCTTTCTTCAGACCTTTAATTGCGTGGCAATGGCTGTAAATTCTTAAGAGCAATTAATGTGTAGCTGTTGCTGTATTATTAAATTAATTGGAAAATCACTATTTCTTAGTTAACTGATTTATGTGTAAAAACTTTCAACCACAACTTATTTGTTCATACTTTGCTTCCCAAACGCCACGTTTCCTAATAATGAAATAGCATCTGGAAGATCCCTCCTCCGGTTATCATCTACTTTAACTACTGTGATGTTTTTCCATAGATTTAACTAAAGTAACAGAAACAAATTGTGCATTTGTGACATTCTACTAATAAGTGCCTAAAGGGTCAGAGCCTGTTTCTATGCTCTTTGTAAAATTGTCTTAAGAGCCAACACAATGCGCGTCCATCACTTGAATTTAGCTGCTTTTTCAAAACATAGGCGGATACATTTGCACAGTGCTTTTGGTCTCTTCAGAGAGGAAATTGTAAAGACATTTATAAACTCAATTTTAATTGAGAATTTGAATGTGCTAGAAATATTCATAAATTAGTGGCGTGCCAGTAATAATTAGGCCTGCATTATATGTAGAGTTAATCAGATATGAAATATTACTGAAAGATAGCAAGTGTTAATTTATCTGCCCATGTTAATCATAAAGTAATATGTTTTTTTATCCATTAAGGCTGTAAAATAAACACATTTTATACATTTTTAAGAAGGAGTAATCCTCATGTGCACCATAAGGTGTTGACATTTTGCTAATTCACAGTTAAACCGAGATCTTGTAGCATGAAGCAGCTGCAGTTCATCATCCATTTTGTTTTTTCAACTTCATTCATTCATCTTGTATGTGTTGCAGGAAAGCAGACCTCTGTGACAGATTTCACAAACTCTCCCAGATTTTTTCAAACGCTGATGTGATATTTTAATATTTTCCACAATTCCCTATTCTTTTATTTTGAAAAATGTAATAGTTATTTGTATCCTGACAATGATAAAAGTGCATCCAGAGCAATTATAACTATTTTGGTCCTGGCATGACCAAATGACAATCAATTAAAGCACTTTTACTGAAGAAATGTGAGATGTTTTCTATTAAATTTGAACAGTTTTACATGATAGACAGTTTAAAACAAAGGCCACAATAAGCCGTGACCCTTCCTGAATGTTTAGCAGAAATAATGTAACCTTACCTCTTCTCATTGATGGCTTCCTCTCAAACCCCTTGTCAGCTGCTCTCTGAGGTGAGTCAAATGCAGCCTTCATCTGTGCCACATTCACAGACTGGCTCTGCTCCTCAGACTTCATCTCTGCTGGTTTGGGCCTGTCATGGTGCTGCAGCTTCTCATGCAGCTGAATTGTCTCCTTTACGAGCTCTGAAACAGGCCTCGGTTTAGGAGTGCCCTGAGATTTGTCCCTTTCCAGGACACCGTTGTCTTTCTCTTTGCAAAGTTTCATCTCATCTTGATCTGGTGTATTTCCTGCATTAGGTGTCAAAATGTGAAGATCCTGCTTCTTGCTGGCTGATACCTGGTTTGTTTCCTCTGTGACTAATGCTCTAGCATCCCCAGCTGGCGCAGCAGCGTCATCACAGCCCACCTGTCCACTTGGATCTGCCTTGTCAGCACCAGGTGTTTTAATTGTGATGCTGCTCGTTTTCAGTGGATGTGCTCCTACAGAGTTTGTCTTCCCAACAGCACAGATCTGGGACGAGTCTACAACTTGCTCAGTGCTTTGTGCAGACGGCTGCTCAGCATGAAGTTCAGAGTAAAGAGCAGATTCCTTAGAAATCACAACAGGCTCCTCACATGATGCTCCCTCATGTGAAACGGCTGGTTGTACGCTGTGGGATGGATTCAGACTTGGCTTTGCAGATGGACCTGTTGATCTGATGTCCTCACCTCTTGAGTGATGTGATGCGAGTAAGCATTCGCTCACATTAGCAGGCCCCGCAGGCTTATGTAGTAAATCTGGGACTGGCTTGTCAGCACCAACTGTCTTTCTTACTTTCGGCTCCATACTTTGAGAATCCTTTAATATAAAACTTGTTTTTGTTTGATTGCTGGAAACTTTCCTTGCATCCCTTTCAGACCGACCATTATGGTCACTTAAGATTGCTGATGAACTGTCGAGCATCTTCTCAGCATTCCCAGGAACATCTTTTATTTTAGACAAAGAAGGGGTTGCCTCTGTTTTGTTTCTCCTCAGGAGTTTCTCCAAAATGAAACTCGGCTCAGTGAGCTCGGCTGTGTTTGATGTTGAACCTGAGGGCATGAAGTTGTTGGTCTCGGATGAGTTCATCTGTGGATGCTCCTCCTGATCATCTCCATTTATTTTTGGTTTTACAGAACAGTTTTCATCCAAAACATACACTGCATCACCTCTTTCTGTTGTGTTACACCCCGTTTTCTCTTTTGGGTCTCCACAGTAAATGGCATCACTCACATCTAATAAAGACTCTTTCTTTAGATAGTTTTTTAAAGGATGTGGGGGCTGAGCTGGAGGTGGTTCCTTCCTTCCACTCAAGATGCTTGCTGTTCCTTCACTCAGCTCCATATCCTCATTCCCAGCTTCATTCAGAGCTGGAACGGGCAGCAGCTGACTTCCTGTTGGAGTTCCATTGCTCCTCGGTATCACAGAGTTCTGAACAGAGTTGTCAAAAGAGCTCTCCTCCTCTGAGTTTTCACCTCTTTGTGGTAAAGTGTCTTCAGCACGATGCTCCATCCTGATCCTTGTTAATGCTTGAAGAACACCTTTCCTTTTGTCTGTGCCGAGTTGGTGAAATGGCTCGTTTGCTCTTTCAAGCCTCTGAATTCCTAAGCTGGTGTTGGAGTTCTGGTCCATCTCATGTGAAACTAAAAGAGCGCTACGGTTTCCTCCCACTGGTTCACCTCCGCCCTCCTTCTCTGCAGCCCCTCCCTGTCTCACCTCCCTTGCAGCAAAATGACTCTCACACAATTGCTTGTGTCTCCTAGCTGTAGTTAGTTCACCGCTGGGGCACTCGTTCTGATGCTGATTACCCCCATCACCTGACTTTCCCCCAGCCTCCTCTTCACATGAGCTCCCTCCTTCCACTGCATGACTGTCTATGCTTCCAAAATCACGGCCCAGCCCCGACTCCTCCAGTTCTTCAACATGGATTTCTTCTCCCTCCTCCATTTTCTCCTGGTTCTGTCCCATGCTGCTCTGCAGAGAAGGACACGAGGTTAAACTTAAGTCTGAACCTTCGGATCCTCCACAATCATGTCTGAAAGCACAAAGCCAAGCTCTGAAATACGTCCTGCAAACTGTCTCTACAACAGTGCTCCTCTTGTTAAAATGTTCCCTGTCGAAACTGGGATTAATACGTAGACACTTGGGAATAACCTCATATATTATGGTGCCAAAACTGAGAAAACAGAGGGTGTAGATGCTAATGGAGGTATTTTCATGGAAAGGGTTAAATCGACACTCTTGCGACTTCAGCAGCTACATACAGTACACTCTGTTATTCATGCACTTTAAATGTCCACACTTGCTCAATATTCAGTCATATTACAGTCACAAGACTCAAAAGAAATCCCCCTTAAATGACAATCATTTATTTTTAACTGATGGACAAATCAGCGGGATAATTCTGGTGTTTATTCTGATTTTTATGTCCTCGAACGATGAATACTCAGAAAATGTTGTTTACAGCTCACAGCATTTTAAATATCAAGTTGTTTTCTCACAAGTCATTAGATAAATTCGCATGTGACCAGTTTATTTATTTTTTTTACTTTTAACCGAAGTAAATCAACAGTTTTTGCAGCCGAAAAACACCCTGAGGTGTTGTGAAACTCTGTGGTGCTGATGAAGACCTCAGCAGCAGAGATGAGGTAAGGAAAGGCTGGAGAATCTGTGTTGTAGACAGACGTTTCCATGACATATTCTAACAGCTAAATGAGTTTTCCCTCACAAAACTGCAGCAGTAAGCAGAGTAAATAGTGAGGCACAATGAACAGTGTCCGTTTCCATGCCTCGTCAGTGTGACAGCATGACTGCTCTTGTCTTATCTGACAAACCTGCACACATGGCAAAGGGAAGGTGATTTAACAGCAATATGAAAATGTTAAATAGAAGAAAACAGAATGAGTACATTTATATTTAGTGCTGTGAATCAGACATTTTCTTCATGTTTGCCAGGTTAAAACTAGAGTCAGGATTTGATTTTCCTTGAGGCAACTCTTCCTCGCCAACAACCGTTTCATTATTCTGCCTGGATCTCTCTGGACGGATCACTTGATCACCATGTGCTCTTCTGCCTCAACATACTCAGACATACGGGAATTCAAACCAGTCGACCACAAATTTCTCACAAGCAAAAAAAGTGTCTTTTTCCATTTTTCTGATCAGCTGTGATGGAAAAACCGCACAACGACCAGCAGAGGCCTGAGTAGTGACAGCTCGCCCGTCCTGCAATACGGTAGATTTAAAACCAACGTCTTGTCGTGTAACTGACACTTACCGATGAAGCTTGTTGATCGCTCGCTCTCAGGACTGACTGAGTGCTCTTTGTTGGTTGTTTGTTGATGATCAGTCCTCCCTCAAACGCATCAGCAGCCTTATATTACATCCATGTGATGTCACAGCACATTTGACTAACACAATCAGGGAAACTTGGACTTAGAGAAGTTTTGCTACACATTTTATTTACTTTTATTTAATGTTTTTTTCCCAGTCATTTAATTTCTGAAATATTTTTTTAAATACTTATTTTCATCATGTCTGTTGTTGTAATTGTATTTTCTACATGCATTACTTAGGTGCATCATCTGGTGGGTGTGGAAGGGGCTTGAAGATGACTGCCGATCCAAGTATCTTTATTAACCAAATGAATGAAGCTGAAACACAAACAGAGAAACGTACTAACCGTGTAGGCAGACAGGTATCCACCGTCCATCTGTGGGATTTAATAAACTCCACTGATAACCATTGACTGAGAGGTGAACAACTGCCAAGGGGTAGCTGTGAGGAAATCAGGACTCAGGTGTGAAACAGGAAGTCAAACGAGAACACATGAACTTGTTTTTTCAAAATAATAGAGGAAATAAATTGACAATTCAATAACATAAATCTCTGTTTTGAGCCAGTGTGTGTCAGAAGGCTCTCATTAGGACAATTAAAGAAGAATCAACCCTAACCCTAACCCAGATGTAAATTGTTAGGGCTTGTTTCTACAAACAGGAAATAGTTTTCTGCATTGAATCCATCTGGAGCTGTGCAAACTTTACACATACTGGAGAATTAGACACACATTGAAAGAAGTACACACACTTCAAGCTCTGGGTAGCCATAGTTATGGCACCATCAGGGATCCATAGGAGCACACAGCACTCAGCATTCACCGCCATTATTTTCCTGCTGGGTCAGGAAAGCAAACCACCTTCAGGCTTTAGGAAATCTATTTATGTATTTATACGTTTCAACTGTATTTGCACATCAGAGTCCTGCATTCGTTGGTGAGTGGTTGCAGTTTACCAAGGTATGAACAGGCTTGTGGGACTAAATCTAAAAACCAGCTTGTGCTACTTCTTTTGTTTCCCTCCGTTTCTATAGTAACTACCAAAACAGGATATGTCCTTGGATAATGAAACAAAAGTGGGGGTACGGCAGCCAGGAATTTACCGACAGAAGAGGGAGAAGCGCGCTGGTCCACGCCCATCGGCTGCAGGAAGACGACTACTGTGTGAACACAGAAGCTGCTGGATTATTGGTTTTTAATCTCACATTCAGCATAATCAGTGTGTGGTTTAATCTAGAAGATAAAACACAAAAACAACAGCAGATAACGTCACTTTTAATATAACTCCTCGCTACATCCAATCAGACACCCGTACAGGCCATGAACATGAGCATCTGACTTCAGTAATTCACTGATGTCATGCAAACGGCAACAGGAAGCCAAGTTTTATATAACCTAGATGTTAGAAAATGGTTCTCCTGCCAAAGCAAATAGAAGAGGGCATGATGTAATGTCAGAGCTCACACATCGTTACGGTTCAGTCGGTGCAAATAAATTTTAGCTTTGCCAGAAGAATTGGAAGTTTGTTTCTTCTTTGAACAAGCTGCTCGTGTCTTTAAAAGGGACGTATTGTGTAAAACTCGCCTTTTGCATCCTTTTGTGCTGTGATGTGATTCTCTTTAAAAACCCATCCATCCGTTTTTGTCATTTTTTTGGATTTTACAAATTTTATACCTACAAGCTGTAGTTAGGTGTCACAAACTAGGGAAATTACATTAGAACCTCTCATGTGTAAGAGAAAGCTGCAGCTGGAAGAGCAGTGGCTCTACTCTGAGCCCCTCCCAGATATCAGAGCTTCTCAGCTCATAGCAGCCTGAGTGGGGGATGGGTGGGCATGTTCAACTCCAGCATGTTGTCTTAAAGTGAGAGCCCTAATACGGCTCATTCTGGAAGGTACTGAAACTGTCAAGAATTAAACTGCTGAGACTTAAATGACTTACATTTAAAGCCATAATATGCAACATTTTCATATTTTGAAATCAATTTATTGAGCCAGTATGCGCTAAAATAATCCTTTACAGGGTTAATGAAATGTCACTCAGACCCCCAGTGCTCCTTTTAGCCATAATAGGCATTTGCATCTTCAGTGTCACCTGTTGGACTTAAAACAAATTAGCTGACATACCTGGCACTGCAGTCTGCTTCCAGCACATTTCCTGCATGTTTTAGATCATGAACACAGCTGATTTGTTTAATTTAGTGATGAACCACTCCTGTAGACACTAATTAAGAAAAGAATGAAAACTATATTTTATGTAGCAACCTCTCAAGACGAAAATCACGAGGCGTTTCACAAGAACAAACACTTAAAAATATAAAAAATATTTTTTTAAAAGGGTTAAAAATATGGTTAAGATGAGAAAAAAATTGTGGTTGAAAAACGTAAGAAAAGGTAAAAAGGGAAATAAGTTGATCCTGGGCAAGGCGGAGTAGGTAGAAAGAGCAGAATAAGGATAAAAGGCTTGAACTGGTGAGTTTTCAGCCGATTTTTTAAAGGAGACCACTGAGTCCACTGATCTCAGGCTCAGGGAGAGAGAGTTCCAGAGTCTGGTGGTCACAGCAGCACTGTCACCTTTGGTCTGGGCTGGAGGGATGTTTCAACAGTTACATTAAAGCTGCTTTCTGGAGTTTTCCCCTTTCAGAAATTATGTATTTTTCAGAAATCTGTAAAAGTGATTTGTCTTATGTCTCATGTACTGTGATATAATGTAAGCAATATGTCTTTTTATTTATTTTTTGCTAAGCACACCCCCTGCCCCACAGAGCCCCGTGCAACAGGAAACTGAGCGCCGACCAGAACTAACCAATAGCGTTAGACTACCGCTTAAGATGATTCAAATTTAAGGACTGCCTCGGCTGATGCAGTTAATGAACTTTTCACGTACAAGTCTCTAAAATATAAATATATGAGAATAATACTCATAAAACAATGTGTTTAAGCTCTGTTTGTTGGCTACAGAAGCACATTTAGTAACAGGAACGTGAATTTGCCATCTTAAAAAAAACAGAGCAACAGTTTTTGTGTGATATGCTTGTCAGCCACTAGATGGTGCCATCGGATAAGAGAAATACTCCGGAAAGAAGCTTTAAGGAGTTAAAAAGGCAAATGCACAGCAAGGGGACAATTTTCGTTTTTGGTTTCTACAGATAATTAATAACGGACACTAGGGGGTGCTAAAAGCAAACAAAACTGTCAAGTGTGCCTTTAAAAAAGAAAAAACACATGCAGCATCTTAAATTATGTAAAAGAAATGTTTATTTCCAACTTCAACACATACAGTACATCTTTTATTTGATCCAACATAAAAAGTGCAATATGCATTCGAACTACAGCATTGTACAGTACAAAAATTACTGCATACTTAAATATAGAAAAGAAAATGATTACAAAACCGTGAAGTAACCTATTGTGAGCGCCGTCACACCAGGGTGACAAAAGCTCTGAAACTCATGGATGATATGGGCGTAAAAGAGGCGTTCTTTACTCCAAAAGGTGCTAAGAGAGTTGTCAGCACTTTCATAAGTGCGACTGAAATAATGATTCACATATTTTATACAGCTTCAGTGTTGTTTTCAATTTGCTGTCAAAATAAACTTTGGTCTTCTACATAAAAAAGCACAAATGTGTTTGAATTATTGGCAGCACTTAAAGTCAGTTTAAGTCAAGAATGCTTCGATGTGATGTTTATGCCATCTTAAATGTTTTAATGTCAGAAACGTTCAGCTCGGGGAAATCCAACTCTCACACTAGATGCTATTATGATTGCTAGCAAACGCAGCGGGACTCCTCATCCCTCAGCTCTCCCAGGAATATTGTACAATGAAGGGAATGATGAGGCTCATAACATTACTTAGAATGTTATTTTGGATGATAGCTTGCTCGTACCAGTATCCACTCAATAAAAATGAAGAAAAAGCAGTGCAAAAGAACAACAAACCCAGAAAGTTTCTGTTTTGTTTGTTGAAAACAGTGAGTGTGCCGCTGGCGAAGGTTACAACCTTCTCTTCATCCTGTTCCCTCTCCCATAAGATGTGTGTAGCTAACACATTAACCCATTCCTGATTTCCTCTGCACAACTAAAGAGACCTAGCTAAACTCCTGCTTGGTTGTTGACGCGTCAGACCGCTTTAGATGCAACGTGAGGTAAACTTTAAATTTGAAAACTATTAAACCAAAAGCTGTGATCAAACAACTCGACTTTTTTCCAAGATTTCGCTTCTGTCAAAGTCTTCGAGGGATTCAAGTTCATCCATGTTGGCTACAACGTTGTACCTGACAGGTAAGGGGAACCAGGTACCATTGGATCGCAGGTTAAAGGATGCAAAGCGCCTTCTAATCGTGCCTCTGGTGGTCTCTTGGTAAGGCACTTGTTTGTCCATGACTCAAAGTTAATGGTGAACTGATGGCTTAACACATTTGTCACAAACAGCAACATGACTTTGATCACTCTGAACAGCAGTTTGAGAAGCACAGTGGCAAAGGAAAAGGGTGTGCATTGTTCTTGTGTTTTTGCTTGAACTCTATTGTGTCTGGGATCTGTGCAGACTTCCTCCCCCTCACACAGCACCAGATGAAAAGGTGAGAGGAGTGTGTAATCATACGAGCGCCTCTTTATTTGTCAGCTTCCGGATTCACCCGAAAGCGCTCTCTCGGGGGTTTGCAGGATCTTGCAGGGTCGAGACAGAGCCGAGGTGGTGGGGGAGTCCCACTCCCCGCCTGGGTCGGTCTCCGGGGACAGAGAGAGGAGCAGCAGTGTCCCTGCGTCCGAGGAGCAGGCCGAACACAGATCCTCAGAAGAGAAGTCGAGGCTGCCCAACTTAGCCAGCGAGTTGGACCGCTTCAGCTTTGAGGGCACGGTGAGGCCTGCCAGCCGCATGCGGGTCTCAATTTCCTGTGCTCTCTGACGCACGAGGCCGGGTTTCCCCCTGACGCTGCGCAGGCTGTCGCTACTGGAGCTGCGTGTGAGGGTGGAGCCATGAGGTGAAGAGATGGGCGTGAGCATCTCCGACCCTACCACACCCAACAAGGCTTCGTTGGTCAGTGGCACCACTAGAGGCTCTAGCCGTACTTGGCATGGTGTTGAAGATTGAGCAAAATGACCTGAAAAGCTGGAGAACTCTTCCTCATTGAAGAAATTCTTGGATGTTTCATGTGCATGTGAAGGCTTCAGAGAGAGCAGGCTCTGCTGAGATAAACCTGAAAGTTTCTCCAGCCTTTCCGCCCGACGCCGGACCAGCCCAGAACGACGCAGCTGTAAAAGACTCTCCTGCTGTTGGCCGAGGTAACAGGCCAGTGCGGGGGTCACCTCCTCTAAATCTGCTCTCATCAGCTCAGGAAGAAGTTCTGAGGAAGCTGCAGAGTGGATGTCATCAGGCTCGAACTTTACTTTGGAGTCCTCACTGCTGTCCTGGAGCTGCACTGGCTGAAGCGATTCTCCTGGCTGTTTCTGATGGGCAGCGATGGATTGGCAAGCAGCACAGTTGGCACAGACACACGTGAGACCCGGGGATGATGTGAGGCCTTCAGTGGAGGTGTTAGACTGTTGGATCTTTTGACCTGCAGCAGGAGAGCAGGATTTAAGGCAAACCTCACGATCTGGCGTTAAAGATTCCTCTTGCTGATGGTCCGTAGTGCACACAGATGACAACGAAGTATCTCTCAGAGGAAGAATGAAAGAAACTTTATCCTATTAACAAAAACCAAATAGATTAATTTACTCAAATAGCCACAAACGTCATTTTTACTTCATGTTCTGGTTTTAATGCTTCTCAAACTCACATAGTGGTTTTTTAGATGGTTGTTGTTGTTAGAATTTTCATTGAGGGTTGCCAGATCCATTCCAATACCTTCTGAATCCCCCTCTACCTCCACATCATGTGCTTCTCCTCCACCTCCTCCATCATCTGGCTGCATCAGAACTTCCATGTCTGCTTCCTCCTTCTGTATATCCTCCTCATCTTCCTCCTCCACTGTGCTGAACTCCAGCCTGAGACGCAGCTCCTCCAGAGGTTCGGGGCCACGACTGAAGGTCTGAGCAGCAGTCCCTTCCCCTGTAGAACCAAAGAGGGGTAGCGGGAGGCCTTCCTGTCCATCAAAAGCCTCATCATCCAACAGGGCATCTCGCTCCACGTCCTCAATTTCTATAAAAACCTTTTCCATGCCGAGAAGTGGGGGGCCGCGGACGGGTGTGGATGGTTCGCTGTCCAGCGCTGAGTCAGAGAGCCGGCGGAAATAGTAGTTGTTGTATGCTGGGTCGATGTCCAGAGCAACAGTCATGCATGAGGACGCTGCACCTTTCTCTTCACAGCAGGGAGACATTCCTGGCTCCAGAGTCAGACGCTCTTCTTCTTCTCCTCCTCCACACTGAGCTGACCCCTGCTGTCCCTCTGCCATCTCACAGTCTGAATCTGGATGCCACAGCTTGTTGTGCCGTTGTTTGCTGGAAATAAAAAATAATTTATGTAAATAAAAAAAGGCTCAAAGTTGAAAACAAAAATGCAATAATAATTAAAGCTGCAAGCAGCGTTGTTCGGCCCTCGCAGCTCCGCACCGCTCCGGCCTGGCCGGCAGCCCGGGGCACCAGGGCACGTCCGTGGAACAGAAACGTCCACCACCCCGACACCAGAAACCGCTAACGGTCACCTCGTCCGCACCTCACCCTGACTCAGCATCCCCTCTGAGCCCACCATTATATTACACGTCTCACCACTTCAACTTCACTTCAACATACACGGAAACTCAGAATCCTTGTCTCATTTTGTTCGCCCATCCCTTCTGAGCATTTTTACACAAGTACTCGAGCAATCTAATCAGAAATGAACCCTAAAAACGGCCAAAACGGCTAAAATCGCAATTTCAACCCAAAATGGCCGACTTCCTGTTTGACACTGACCATAGTTGCAAGAGACTTTTCTGAGCGGACTGTTGAGTACTACAAGTGTACAAAATTTCATAACTGTACGATAAACTAAGCTTTATGGACAGGGGTATTTTTCACTTTCTAGGGGGCGCTGTTCAGCCATTTTCTTTGCCATTTTTTTTGGGACCTTTAAAATATCAAATTTTTCACCAGGCCTGACAAGTTTGCAAAATATTGTGAATTTTGGGGTATGATAAAGTCCCCAAAAAGCCATTCAAAGCGGGCACAGAATAATAAATAATAAACGGAGGAAAAACAAGAGGTCTTCGCAGCGCTTTCGCTGCCCGGGCCTAATAAAAAACTACCAGACGATGAAAATTATAACACAAGAGTCAGACGAAGGAGTGTACCTGGCGTCTAAAATGCCCTCATACTCCGCCAGCTGCCTCATGAAGCCCGGGTTGGGTCGAGTGATGTTCCTCTTCTGCTTCACAAAGTTATACGCTTTCTCCAGCGACCAGCCGTACTCCTTCATGGCATAGGCGATGACGGTGGAGGCAGACCGACTGACGCCCATCTTGCAGTGAACCAGACACTTGGAGTCATTCTTTCTGTGGGTAAAAGTTATCCAACATCATGTAACTGTGCAGCATCTCACACTTACAAAAAGGTAATTCATGCAATGCTGTCTGTCTGTCTGTCTGTTCACTGGCTCACTTTGCTTTGACAATAAAGTTGTACGTGTCGTTCCAGTGTGCCAAAAGATCAGTGGCGTCTTCATCGTAAACACGAACGTTATGATAACAGAATGTCCCCGGAAAGAAGTTGTCTATCTCCCTGGTAACATTTAGGATGTGGCCCACCCTGGAGGGAAAAAATATGTAATAATAAAAATAATAATTTAAACCTTTATGAAAACATTCTTTAATGCTCAAATTGGTCCTGCAGTAATCCAAAGTAAATCACCCCGTTTCCTGCAGCTCTTCCAAATTAGATGCATTCCATTCAGATCCCTGAAAACACAAACATCTTTTAAAGATCTGCGTTTCCTTCAGAACAATTATTCCAGAACGGAGTTCTCCTCAGTAATGAACTATGAAGGTAGGAGACAGCTTTTGTTTTCTCACCAGGTAAACGTGATCAAAGATAAGTGTAGCTTTGTCCATCTGGCCAAGAATCAGCAGCATCTCATTGTCGATGAACTCTTTGTACTCCTTCAAGTTGCAGCTCATGTGCTGCTCCAACTCAGTTCGGATCTGGAAGAGCAACCCAAACATAAAAGAACTTGATCAACTTTCCCTGGAAAGGATCAAAGATTATAATTGGATTGCAGATTTAATTGTTTAAAACTTGACTTGAACAGAACAGTTAAGAGATCTGAGGTAAAGAAAACGTTCTGATGTAAACGGGCACTTGTTAGCTTAATCAGTACAATTTTAAAGTTTTCGCCACAAAATAAATGTTTGATGTTTGTCACGCAACAACTGAAAAAACCCCAAAGCAAATTCAAAAAAAGTCAATAAATAAATGTACGCTCTTGTCTGCAACACAATAATTTAAAATAAACTATCCCTTTAAGACAAACAGATGCTGTTATCATAATCAATAAAACGGAAAAGTCAGTGGTTAGTCACTGCTCTTTTACGTGTTTTTGTTTTTACCTGTTTGCAGGTGACGTTCTCGAGGTCCTGGGATGTCATGATGCTTCTGAGTTTGGCTTTTATATGGCACTCTGTCCTTTCTCTCTCTGAAGGCCTGCCAATAATTTACCTTCATTAACGTTTCATCACTAGTTAATCGTCTAAAGGTAAAGCTGCTTCAGCCACATGGACAGATTAGAGGCGGTTCCTTTCAGTCTTCATTAAAAAAAGAAGGGATGGATGGTGTTTATTTACTTGTCAACAAACATGGTGGGCGAGTCGGGCCGTGTGGTCTCCAGGTCCTTCATGGCGTTCCACTCGTTGATGCAGCTCTGGTCTGAAGCGATGCAGCTCTCATAGTAGCCCATCCAGGTGAGAGCCATGCCTCCAGGGAAGTAGTTAAACCTCCGTGACACCTCACAAGCTTTGTGCAGCACCTGCAGGGCCGACCTGGGTTGTTGTTGATCAGAAAAGTAAACATGAGACATTTATGAGCTATTTTAGTACCTAAATCAGAGAAATGTGGTATTTATTGGGGCTGGAGTTTGCATGTGCATCCTCACGTCAGCAGGTGGCGCAATGAGTCAGCACAGCTTCAGTCTGAACTACTGCAGCACACCTGCTGAGCTTTCCCTTTGACACTAAAGAGCTTCAGAAGGCCTCTGTGACTCACCACATCGCCTGCACTGACACGGGTTTGAAGACATGAGTGCGACCTGCTGTGTTCACAGTAAAGCCCCTGAGGAGCAGACAAAACAGATGGCTCAGTCCCCGAGTCGAACAACGATGTAGCTTTGTGTGAATCCAGCTCAAATCAAGTGTCAGAGAGCCGATGCAGTGTTGTGTGAAAATCTGACAAACAGAGCTGCAGCTGTGGCCCCTGTCCTCATCTCGGATGTCACAAAACACCAAAGGAAGCTCACCCGTCTCCATCCAGATGGATCTTTGCGTCGCTCCACAGAGGTAGCACCATGCCGATTGAACAGCTTTTGCTGGCAGAGAACAAAAACAAGAAAGCAGAGATAAATGTTTCTAAAAAAAATGAAAGATGAATGAGAAGTGTCTATTCTGTTTATCCAGGAAGAAACGTGTTGATTTTAGTGTTTTGTTACACCAAACAAAGAATGAGGCCAACGTAGAGCGTCTTTGTACCAGTCTTTGTTGGTGAAGTCGATTCCTAAAAGAATGTTTTCCTCTGTGTCCTGTCGCCCACTGGTATACACCACCACCATGTACCGCACTCGATCCGACCAGCCGCTTTCCAAACGCACCGCCTGCACAGGAGACAGTTTACGTCAGAGGGTTTCCTGCAGTAGGAACCACCTTCACTTAGAGGGGGGTTGGAGATTTCCCCAAAGCCACCATCTATCTGAGCTGCTGCCCTCTGGGAGGAGCTACAGGTGCGTCAAATCCAGGACAAACAGATCCCAGAATAGCTTCCCTCCTAGAAACACAACTACGCTGTGTGCAAACACTCTAACCCCTACTGACAGAAAAATCTTTACTATTATCACTGATTTATTAGCAGCTCATCTATCTCAACAGTGTCATAATAAAAATACAGTACACATCTTAGGTTAGTGTCAAACAGGATATTTGTGAATGTATTATTTATGTTTCTTGCACTCAAAGCTGAGTTTTTAATCGTATTTTACAAAAATGATAGTAAAATCAGATTCTGTGTGTTTAAATGTGTTCGTGTTATTCTTTTGAGGTATTTAAATACTCTCTTACCAGTTTGATTCTGTCTTCTGAGCGGAGAATGTTGATCATCACCTGCAGGTGTTGAGGTAAGTCACCTGTCGAAGACAATGGCACAAATCTTCAAACACCTTCTCCCTCTTTAACCAAAACTAAAAGTTTGTACCTCAAAACACTAAGACTGAAAGGTGTGGTTTACTTGTTTAATAAATACATTTGCAGTGGTCTCTGGCAGGAATGAATGCATTGCAAGCCGTACTCGGGGCAAAAAAATCCCAAAAACGCTCGGATCAGCACGGACAAGTCTGCTGCAGAGAGTGGCACAACACGGCATTTTGGACCTCTCGCCTCGTACTGGATAACAAGAATGCAACTCTACCACTGACTGATGTTTCATCTCCACAAATAACACAAGCCTGGAGGAGTTTTTCTGTGTGGTGGAGTTGCTAATGCTAATGATTAGCTTCTACTAGTCGGGACATTCTCTGCTGTTTCCTGGACGCTAAACCAAAAACAGCCTTCCCTGTCATGAGTCAAAGTGAGTCCATGAATGTTAAGTGACAGTGTGATGTAGATCTGTCAGGACTTTCAGTCCTAGACCTTCACCATCTACTTTCTATCAGACGCTAATGGTGTAGGAGACTATTTCAATGTTCAGCAGCCTGCACAAAAAATTCTGAGTGACCGATCATAATCAGAAATAATCATTAAAAATGTTTTTTTTTCAGAGACCCACGCCTTTAAGGTGCACTGGCTGAAGAAAAAAGAACTGACACTAACGCCTCTTTGCACGAGGAACTATGTCAACCGCCTAACTACAATTCATGAACTTGTCTGTTCATTTTACAACCCTCACCACCTCTTGACCAAAGACATGTCAGTGGTGCGGAATAATAAAGCGGGGTGTGGAAGCGGTCCCACAGCAAGGCAAAGCAGCAGCTGACAGTGAACCAGCTATTTTCAAATCTGTCACGTGGAGTACCCAGACCCTGAATGTTCCTGAACAGCTGCTGAACTCTCTCCAGACAGCTGCCTCCTACTTTTAAACTTGATGTAAAAAAATATTATGAATCTACAGTTGCTTTTCATACATTTCCCTAACTGCTAACCTTTTTAGAAAAGAAAATCACAACCATGAAATTAGCAATTTATATGAAAAATGCCAGATAAATCAACGCTGTGCTCAGGCCAGTTTAAGTTCCCTCTAGTCTATCTTTCTAACATCAAATGTCAAGTCACTGATTACAGGAGACCAGATTTTAAATCAAAAATACTTTAACGCTTTTTACAAGTCTACTACTTCCTCGTCAAATACCAGTTACGGAGAAATGACACGGCTATTCCCTCTGGAAAAAGCTCCTGACGTGACGACAAAGTATGCCTGCTAAATATGTGAGGTACCTGACAAAGTGGCCAGTAAAGACGGACAAAGCCGCCAGCCGCAGCCACGAACTGCCAAATGACTTGGCAGCAGTTTGTCTGCTGGCTGATGGTGAATTCACATCATGCGACAGGACTCTAGATCTTTTAAGCAACTACTGTGGCTTTGAATAGCAACACTAAAAAAAAGAGGTGTCTGATTAATGTTACTGGGAAGTTCAGCCTTTGTCACGTGACCCAAGGCTCCAGTCAATACAACACAGAGGCCATGAAAGCCACTGCAAATCAATTTCATTTGTGTAAATGCGCCTAAAATCAACAGGTACAAAGTTTGCAAGAGTAAAACCAGCAGAATAACATAAATTATTCTACTTTCATACAGTAAACCTAATGAACAATGATCTGGATGAGTGCTGCTTCACCCTGTGGTAAAGGAAACAGTGAGGCCGTCCTTTAATCATCAACAGAAGTTTGTCACCATACGCTGGATTTAAGCACTAATCAGCCTAAGCTACAGGTCTGGAACATGCTCATCAACGACACATCCTCCATCCTTCTCACCCAGCTACTAACATCTGCTGCTGCGTTGAGGATAGCAGCACCTGAACTCAGATGAAAGACGAGTGAATCTCACCTGCATGTTTGTGAGGCGGATGTGCTTTCTGGCCCTGCTGACTGCTTCCCTGCTGCAAGAAGAGAGCAGCGCCCTTCACCATAAAGAAGCTCTCGCTCAGGCTGCAGACAGCAGACACACAGGAGAGAAGGGTTACAAAGTTTTCAAACTTTGACTTCAGAGGTACAGATCAGCACTTTTTGTTTAGACAGCAATTAGGGCTAAGCAGTGAGAAATTAGCTAAAAGTAATACAATTTTAAACTCTAACAGAAGGGTTCAGGCCCGTTGGAAGAAGCCAGAGAGATAATCGTAAATCTTGGTCGCCTGTTCCTGTTGAATTAACTCCACAGCTTAGAGGAGACGCCACGCTGCCACGTTACAGAGGCAGACCTCCTCCTGCAGCCGCCAGGATTCGAGCTTTGAACTGAAATGCTTATCTATCGTCTTTCTGCTGCATCGGCTCCACTCAGATTCCACTTGTCAGGCCTTTGCGACCTCACGTTAACGCAACACAGACCTCAGTCACAGACTCTTACCTTCCACTATGACCCTAAAAGCAGTAACAACCGCTGCACGTCAATTTGTAAAAGTCCTGACTTTTATTAGGCTAGGTGTTGAAACTATAAACAGATGACATCATTAAGGAATGGCGATAAAAAGGTGAGGTGTTTCCTTCAGGCTGGCTTTAATCATTCCATCTGAGTGATGAATGATGTGGACACATCTGTAAATCTACCTGGCAGCAGGGTGGGTCACATACACCAGGTACTGTGTGTGTGCAGTTGTCATTAGAAAGGAGAAGAAGTGATGAGAGACAGGATCAAAACAAAGATAAACTAGAAGAAAAAACACCACCGATCACAAGTAAACAGTTGTGATTACTGATATCAGAGACAAACAGACTAAAACCAGATGAAAAGTCCTCATCAACTTCCTCTCTGTAGCTGGACTTTCACAGCCCACGTACAGATGAAAGCCTGGACCAATCTGAACATTTTGTGGGAACAATAGGTTTCATTCTGTACACCTCGCAATAAATTCTGACCTCCCCCAGCTCCGCAGAGAGAGAGAGAAAAGCACTGAACGGGGGTGGACGCTTTTCAACAAAAGGGTTTTTACCACTTTTGTGAATTTTTGTCTCTCTCTGTTGTTAGTTTGATGTTTCTATTGTAGCAATATCATAATCAAGATGGGCAGTGTTATAATTATTGCTGCTTCTCAGAACTTTGCAAACGCCTTATATTAGTCAGTCTTCCATTCTGAGGACGTGTGAAACTTGTCCTCAGGTGTAAATCAGGAGCTGTCTGACTGAAGACCGGCTAAGCTCAGCTCTTTCTCCGTCCTGCAGCACCCTGCTATCAGCTTCTCCACAAATGTTAGGGCTAAAAATATATTTGGTATATTTAGAAAACCATGAATGCACCTAGCCGTTGTACAGAGACACACGGAGGGAAGTCAGTCATTTAAAGAGTCTGAAATGCGGCAAACGAGTCAAAACGTGCTCTGAAAATGTCAGCAAAACTCACATGCGGTTTATCTCGCTCTGGGTCAACACGGCATTCTCCACAAAGTACGGTACCATCTTCATCACGGCCTCCTGAATGGGCTCCACAACCAGATGCATCCTGTTGACCGGGGAGAATAGTGGCGCTTCTCTGGTTTGACTTAACTCCTCTTCATCACGTCCAAAGACAGAGAAGGAGGAAAGGGAACTTAGGGCTCCAGGTTTGGTCCCGCTGTGTTTGAGTGACAGTCTGCACTCATCTGTGCTGCTAAGTGGAGCGGTGCCGTTAGTTCAGAGGCCCCTCCCTCCAGCTGCCCCTTTCTCCTCCCTCATCTGAGCGTCTCCGTTTGTGAGTCAGCCTCCTGCCTGCAGGGAAACACGGCAGCCTCCACCCGAAGCCTCAGGCACTCACAACCACCCTCCAAAGTCTCTCAGTCTGTTTTTGTCTGTGACAAATCTTTAGTAGAACAATGATAGTCAAACATCCTCGTCTCTAACCGAGAATCCAGACCTGATCAAACCTCGGGTGGTGGATGTCTACCTGAAGCACAAACTCTTTTAGATTGCAGTTCAGAATCAGCAAAATGCGAGGAACAAGAAAGACAAAACCTCTTTTTTTCTCTGGAAAAATACAGCTTTGAGCAAACAGGAGTCCCCGATGTAGAGCCTCCAGAAGATCTCAAGACAACAGGCAGCGAGGGGAACTGGCATCATCCCAAAAAGTCCCAATCTCATTATACCCAGGCTTATAAGGATGGGATAATCCTGTCTCTTTGCTCCAAGTGGCCAGTGCTAGCCGTCACTCACTCATGCACCACCGTCAAACAAAATGTCTGAGATGATCAGATTATGGCAGGTTAGAAGACATTCCTGCACGTCCACAGCACAAAGGGATATTCCTTAGGATGGAGAATTACCAAACTGAGTGTAACAGCTGCAGGTGTGATGTGAATTTCCCAAATAAAAAAATAATCCCAGTAATAAGACAATATCTGATGGTCGTTTGCAGATGGAGACCGGCATATCCTCGCTGACAGCCCATTAGGTATTACATTTTGTACAGATGACGGCTTATCAGGGTGCTGAAGTTTGATTTGTAGTTCTGTAAACATCCAGCTAGAGCTGGAGTAAAGCAGGACCAGATGTCTCCTAAGCCTGAGTCACTGCATGAGCAGGTATGTGAGAGTTACCCCATAAAGAGGCTACACACAGGCTGCTTTACTCTTGGTCTTGGGAGTGTTTTCCAGACGCCAGCACAAAGCGGGGGAAAGAAAAAAAACTTCTTCGAGGTTTTTCTGTTGCATAACACTGGATTTTTTATCACTGACACCACTGAAATGGGTAAAGAAAGGGAGGGGCAGAAGAAGAAGAAATCTTCCCAGGTATAAAAGACACACCGGAGAGGCTGAGACAGGAAGAAATGACATCACTGTGTCTGAAAATGATTGAAACATTTCATGTTACCGTTTCTAAAACCACAAACGGTTTCCAACTGTTAACACTTGTTTACGTTGTCCTATCTTTGCTGTTCATCATCATAAAGGTCAGCCAGGAACAGCAAGTCCAATATTCCTGCTTGGCACATTTTCATCCATCCATCAATAGATGCGACCTCTTACCTGGTGCACCTGATCAGAGCACCCTGATTAACGCAGCTGCCAAATAAAACACAGCTGCATACGCCTATGCTATAAACATACATTTACTGCCAGCCTTGTTGCATAATGTGACTTACAGGCTCTTGAAAAAATGTAAGAAATCCTGAAGCAAGTCAGAACTTGCATCGTGCATAGATCATACGACGCTTGGGGGGCATTTGCATTGGCAGTTGTATTACTGAAAAAGCGAACCCGATCAGTTACTGTGAAGTTTGGCACACACTCACTTTAAATGAATAAAGAGCAGAGGTCTTTGTCGGAGTGACTGACGGATAGCAGCGTGAACCGTTATCGCTCTAACATCTTGACAAGTTGGTTCAGAGTTGGCACGGTTTCGTTTCTGATCTGAAATGAAATCTGGGTTGTTTTGCTGCAGCTGAGTAGCAAATCTGTCCTTTTGTGGAATGCATGATTTCCATATATATATATATATATATATATATATATATATATATATATATATATATATAAACACACATTTACATCATGGAAAGATACACATGTTCTGGGACAAATTTAGTGATTAGGTCTGATTGAAATGCCTCTATCTTGACATCTACTCTGAGCATCTGCAGCTCCTGCTCAAAATGATCATGAAAGAAGAGTTTTTTGTCATTTTTTTCAATTGAAAAACTGCATTTGTATGGTTTTGCAGCTACTACTTGTGTTGTTTTTGTGCTTAATACTCTTATTTGGTTTGTTGCCTGGACTTCTGGAGTTAGGGTTTCTCCTTTCACCTCAGTGAAGTTTCACTCCTGTGTTTATTTTTTATCCCTGTACTCTGCAGCATTATTAGTTTTATTTGATTCTGCATAAAAGGTTTGTTAAATACCTGAAGCACATGCCTTCACTTAATACATCTGCATTTTTCTCGGTATAACAAACAGACTGAACAAATAACAGCTAATCAAGTGCTGAGAAAGGTCTGGAGGCTAGCTTAAATGCTAAATATTAGCATTGAACCAACTTATAAGTAAAAAAAAAAACAGCTAGATTTATTCTTGACATTGAGGCAAAACAAAGTGCTGCATAGTGTCGGAAGCTAAGTTTTTTCCTTTTTTATTCGTGGCTTTTAATGGTTGAAGGTTACAATTCTAGACTACTGCCTATGTGTATTTCACATAACTCTTAATTATTCGTTTTTCTTCAAATTATTCTCTTCAGTGTTCATGCTGCTGTAACAATCAAATTTCCCCACTGTGGGATTACTGGTAATAAAGTCTATTCTATTCTATTCTAAAGGATTAGAAAAATCTGAATGTTCCTCTAATACTTTTTTCTTCAGTTATAATATTTATATTGTTCATAAAAAAACATGTTTATGAAGATTTTTGCACTAAATCCCCCTCACAGAAAGCGATTTCAGCAATTTTATTCTTGACATTTTTAGTACGTTCCAGAATGAGCCATTTCAGGGCTCTGTCACTTTAAGAAAACAAGCTGGAGCTGGCCAAGCCCAGCCACCCCCACTCAGGTTGCTATAGGCTGAAAAGCTCCAATGTCTGGGAGGAGCTCGAGATCCGCTGCTCCTCCTCCGTGCTCTCCTTTGCACGAGACAGGTGGTTCCATTTTAATGTAATCATTTGTGACATCACAAACAGTAACTTTGTTTAAATGAATTGTTTTAGGCACATAATTCCTAAAACCAAATCATGTAAAAAAATAAAAAATAAATAAACGGATGGAAGAATTTTATTACGGTTAGAGTGTTTATAGAGACAGTTGAGACCCACAGGGCAGCACAAAAAATAGCAAAAGGTGAGGTTAGCATAATTTGTCCCTTTTAAAAGTAATGCCTGATTTCTAATTTGTCTTCCCAGAAAAAAACAGATGTATACATTTGAGGAAGCGATTTATAACTTGACAGTATTCATGACTTGGAGACTAGTTTTACTCTAATTACAAAACAGGAAAGTCTGATAAAGTGGATCATAATAACTGTTATAATTGTATTACTGCTGTCACTTGTTTTATAGCTTTTAAAATGTAAAAAAGTATTTTTAATCTCATTTATTTTGATGTCTAACGAGCCTAAATATTTATTTCTACAGGCCTTTTCACTGCAGCAAAACAAGCTGTCATTTATGGAAGGAAACTACTATATTGTGATTTATGAGACAGGGCCAAAACTTTAGTCTGCAGTAAAACAAGGAACCCTGAACAAGACAAAAATCACCCAAATGTTCACATTTCGAAGGAATAATCGAGTCATAAATGTGAAAACATTCCGCTGCCAAAACCATGAGTTTTTGCCAGTTTGTATCATGAAGGGGTTGAAAAGCCAAACAGAAAACCTGCAGAGAAGCTGAATGATGACACACACACGTCTGAAAACAAGTTCATAAAATGCTGTTAAATAAACGTGTCATCATCATACTGGAGAGGCTCCTGGGCATTTGTTGCACGGATTTTTTAGAGCAGCAATTAAAAACAAATAACTGTGTTGGCGAGACGGACGGGCAGGTGTTTTGTAACGCTTGTTCTCATTTGTTGATGCCAGCTTGGCTGCCGCTGCTCAAGATTTCAAGACATGAGTCAAAACAGATGCAGGCGGTTGGTCGAACTTGTTTATATGAGTGTTGCTTTGCACCATGCAGCGAACGGGCAAATGCAGATGGAAACGTACCTCTGATTTATTCTCCGTTCATCTTCACTCCCAAAATCCTGCAAAGCAGATAACATGAAATAAGTAACATAGTTTTAAAAACTGATGATTGCACTACTAATAAGCATTAAAACTGAATCTCACATATCTGATAGACAGAAAAACTAACTATAAGATATTTTTAACATTCAACAAAAATAAGTGGCATAATTCCTTCTGAGGGTTAGGAGCAAAAGCTGAATGTTGTGTAACCTTTTATGACCAATTAGGTTCGCTCTGGCAATGCTGCACGGTCGTGTTGGAACAGCTACATCTAGCCTGACATGTTTGCACCTCTTCACCCTGAATGAGACGAGCTGTTAAAGAACAAATGAGCTCATTTTCTTTTTGTCACATGGAGATTGCCAGGACAACAGCAGTACAGTCTGACATAAGTATTGACAGAAATATGTACGCTTAACTCAAGATTAGCTTGTGTTTCATTCTGACTGCTGTCAAGAGTGATGCTGCGAACAAGCTCCTGCATAGGTATGAAAAATGCAGCTGAGCCGAATTAAATAGATTTTCTTAAAAGATGCACTTTAATCTTGTCTTTAGATTATCTACATAATTGTTCATATATAAAATGTGGTATCTTTAAATTTGTTTTATAAAAAATATCTATACAAGGTTGTTTTATTTGCATCTGTAAACAATGCATAAAAAACTTCCTGCACACCTAGAGTAAATCACACCTTTCATATGATGTTTTTAAGCCATTATTGTCTATTTGTAAGGATCCACTAGTGCATCACTGCTGATAATAACTCCGCAGAATAAAATTAATATAGGAAAAGATATTTTGGGCACTGATGGAGAAAATAAATCCTCAGAGAACAAAGTATAACTAAGAGAAATAAGGCATTCTGGGTAAATAATCCTACATTTTACCTGGCTCATCCCCTTATGCCCAGCATGACTGTTTATCTAAGCTCTTTTTCCCTTCCACTACACCACTCCTCCAGCCCTCCCACCCCCCAGGACAAGATTACATCATAGCTGCAGTAGATTTCACGCCGCTTTTTCCGTCAAACACAAATAAAATACTTCAGGAACAAAATGGTCAATTAAACAATAAAAATTCCTTTACAAAAAAAGGAAGTTGTTTATAGTCAATTGGGACATTTGTGATCTTTAAGAGATCATGTGAAAATCAAGCAATTTTGCCTTTATTGCATCCAACACACTTCCAGCTGCGTCCCTGTTTAATAGTAAACGCAAAGTCGGTTTTTAAAAATGAAATCCAGTCATTTGTCCTAATTTGTCTGGAAAAAACAGGACAAGGTGAGCTCATCTGTCTGCAGCTGCTAGAAATGTAGCTATAGCGCCCCCATCTGGCAACGAGCACATTTGTTTAAAATTGTCGAGGAAACTTAAGAGTGAAACACATTAATTAATGTTCATTTTTATAACCATTTATTAAGCTTAGTGATAAAAAAGATGCCTAATTTTTGCCTTTTGGTTGATGTAGATTATATGAGCAATTAAAGCCTTATTTTCCATCCTAATGATTGTTTGTCAGTGATGAAATCTAAGCTTGGCTCTAAACAACAGACTAGAAATGTACACTATACTTTGTTTATAAATTGCATTGTGTACTAATTAGCTGTCTCGTGGAGATTTTACAGATGGTTAAGGCTACGAGGAGATCAAGACATCTGACAACAGCTATTTACTTTTGCCACGCTACCCCTATAAACAACATATTGTTAATGTTTTTGATGAACAGATGTAAAGAAAATGTTTTTAATTGTTGGCAAGTTTCATAAAAACAGCAGAAATGAACGTTAGCTTCATTTCTCATCAGCCATAAGATTCTGATACCAGTAAGCTAACATTAGCGCATTATACTACAAATGTTACTATTACGTTTATTAGTTGAATATGTTTCCATGTAAAAAAGTAAACATTGTTATCTGGTAGTAATTAAGAAAGCTACGAGGAGCACTAGCTAACGGCCTAGCATAACACGTTAACTAACGGCGCTAATTTAGCTTCAATCAGCAGGCCTTCCACCGGCAGCATCCTCCTCATCCTCAGCGCGAGACCATCACGCTAGAGCATCACGCTAGAGCATCACCATAGACTGTGCATCACTCAAACAACGGGGACACACTGACCTCCCCCGCGGTCGTGGTCGTAGTGCTGGCGGTGGACGCGGCACTCGGGGTCGGGGACCGCTGTATTGTCACCAACGCCATGGCTGGTAGCTGGGCAGGAACGGACCAAACACCGGCCACTGGGGCCTGGAGAGCTGCAGCTAGCTGCCGGGCTAACGACACACACATACAACTGAGGGCAGGAGAGAGAGAGAAGCCGTGTTACTATTCTGCAGGATGGACTCTCTCTCTCTCTCTCTCTCTCTCTCTCTCTCTCTCTCTCTCTCTCTCTCTCTCTCTCGTGTGTGTGTGTGTGTGTGTGTGTGTGTGTGTGTGTGTGTGTGTGTGTGTGTGTGTGTGTGTGTGTGTGTGTGTGTGTGTGTGTGTGTGTGTGTGTGTGTGTGTGTGTGTGTGTGTGCGAGCGCGCGCATGCGCAGGAAGTGATGCGTTCACAGCCCCATCACACCCTGACGACAGCACAAATTAAAACGTTCACTAGTTTATTCAGGTTCATTTACCTATAAATGTAGGTATAACGATGCCATATTTTAAAATTATTAAATTTAAAATTATTATTTATTTACATACCCTTACACAAACACAGTAAATCATTGACAAAATAAGGAAAATGAAATACTTACATGAAAAAAACTGCAATAACCTTAAGACAATTGAATTTTTTATTAGTACAACTGGTAACATGGAATTGTTTCTTCTAAACTTGATCTTGATTTTAATGCTACTTATCTACCACTGTTCTGTCAGAGTACTTTTTGTCTTGATCCTGTTTCCATTTAATATTGGTTGTTTTCCATCTTTTTATTTTACAGAGCACATTCCTTTGGGAACATGCTCCTAGTTCTCTTCAAACTCTCTGTTAATATTCATCTTAGCTTCTTGCTCTCTCAGCTTTGTTCTCATAAGTTGGATGGATCCATTGCTTTGTCAGTACTCTTGATTTGGTTTGGTCAATTGTAATTTGTAATCTTCCTGCCTTCTGCTTGTTTATCATACTCCAAGATCACCTTGAACTATGATGTGTGAACCACAGCTGTACTAAAACAACATATATGAAGACTCCTTGGTACAGCTGTAACTCTGGTTATTCCACTTTAATTGCTATAGTTGACCTTATTGCAGCAACGCATATGTCTACAAGCAATTACCAAGGCTTCACCATCATCATCTGTATCACTTTTTGGCTGCTGTTTAATGTAATCTATCATTTTAATGATAAATGACCCACATGTATAGCGCCTTTCAGAATCAGAGGAATCTAAAGCGCGTTACACTACAGCGTTTCATTCATTCATTCACACCGATTCACACACACCTTCACACACTGATGATGATGAGCTGCAATGGTAGCCACTCTGCCCTGCTGACAGAGGCGGAAACAGTTGAAACCTTCAACCATATTAACTCATACCACCTTAAAAATGACAAATAAATGCATGTTTTAACCCTTTCGTGCAACAGCTAGCATTTGTGTCCCTGTGACATGTTAGGTTTTGGTTTTTGTCTCCTCCTCATTCTGATTGTGTTTTAGACCGAGGAGACGTGAACGCAGCAGCAGGCTCCGCCCTCCCATGTGATCCCCAGTGAGAATTCCTGTGGTGGCCTGAAGCTGATCTGAGGTAAGGCTAAACTTTTCCGACACGTCTGCTTTATGTATTTCAGTAAATGATCTTGACACTCTGTAGCTCTTGCAGCTCTGTCGCAAGTTTTAGTAACTTTCTATAATTCTGTTTATTCTTGAAACCAAAAATCCATATTTATCTTGCATGTTGCACAATCCATTATGCAGGGTATCCATGACTAACTTTCAAATTATTATCATGGGGATTAATTTCTTAAATCATGTCAGTTCATCTCTAATTTCATTCACAACTGTCTAAAATAATCAGCATTATAATCAGATAGAAATAATCTAATAGAATGGCAGCTTTTCCAGACTTAAATCTCCTCACCACCTGTTCGGAGTGTACCTGTGCACACAGGTGGGTAACAGTTGTGTTTTAGTGCAGAGATGCGGGTGGCAGTGATCGGAGCTGGAGTCATTGGCCTGTCAACAGCTCAGAGCATCTACCAGCAGTTCCACTCCACAGTCAGTCCTCTGACCATTGAGGTGTACGCAGACCGCTTCACTCCCCTGACCACCAGCGATGGAGCCGCTGGCTTCTGGCAGCCCTACCTCCACGATAAGGGCAACATCCAGGAGACGTGAGTGCAGCCTCTGCTCCTGCAACCTTAGGTTCCTCTCTACTGACTCCATATTAACCCCCATGTGTGTCATCACCTTTAGCATGTGGAATAAGATGACCTTTGACTACTTGCTGAAATGGCTCAGCTCTCCGGATTCTATAAAAATGGGAATCTTTCTTCAGTCGGGCTACAACCTCTGTGAGGAGCCTACTCCGGTTAGTGCTGCTTTGATCTTTGGAAATGTGTCTATAAATAGGAAACATAAGAGCTGTCCATAACTTTTTACAAGAACAAATAACCCCTGCAGCGAGAAAGTGTAACAGCCAAATAGATCATTACATAAGTTTATCAGTTCACCATAGATAATAAAGTCCAACGGTTTTCAGGTGAACTCCAGTAAATCGTTGTTCAGCAACACAAGGGATGGTTAATAAACACCAATCAAGAGGCCTCAGTCAGGGTTAGGTTTGCACCAATGGAGATCCTTAATGCTAACTCAGCTGTGTGTTTCTCCTGCTGTGGTCTGAGTGTAAATAATTTGTTACTGACTGCAGGAGCCTTCATTTAAGGACATCGTTCTGGGCTTCAGAGAGCTCACTGACAGGGAGCTGCAGATGTTTCCTGGATACAAGTGAGTTCTCCCTGCGAGACCCGTTAAACTAGAACCGCTGCTGTTTTATATAAGACCAGGGTTAATCTGAGTGGTGCAGTGAACTCATGCACGAATATGTGTGCCATCATTATCAGTATTTAGATTTGCACAAACAAAGCCACAATTGCTTAACTTACATAAACATTTATTTATCATTACAAACTTGAACACTCAAAAAAGCTAGTAAAACAATTTAAATGAACATTTTTGGTCTAAATAAATTGTAGCAGCTGCTGTGTTTATATTTTTCCCTGTTTGGTAATAGATTAAATAAGCACCAATTACTGAAAATGGGACACAAAAATGGACGAGTTGGTCTCCTTCATGTCCAATGTTGACTGACACGCTACTTTTGTCCAGGTATGGCTGGTTTAACACAGCCCTCATGGTGGAAGGTAAATCCTACCTACCGTGGCTGATGGACTGGTGAGTGAACTCTCCCGTTTTTCTGCGGTTGCATTATTCAACATTTAATGATACGAGGTCATTTAGTTTGGTGCATTTGATATAAAAGCTGTTTGGGTCGATTTGTGCTCCTTTTTTCTACTCTGATAAAAACAAAAACGGCTGTTTTACTTTATCCACAGACTTACATATAAAATGCTGCGTGCATTATTGGGTTGCCATCTGATAATTAACTATACACATGACCTTTTTTTCTTTTAAATTTCAATTTGATCTTGTGTAATTTGATTTTATTATTTACTTTTTTATCATTAATAAAAAATGTTTTGTGCACATGAGCATCTTGTGATTTTTATCATGAAAAATCTTCCATTTTCTGTTTTTTATTGTGAGTAAAATATTTTTTTGTTTTTATAATGTTCAAACTTTGTTGTAGGTTGAAAGAAAGAGGTGTCAAATTTCATCACAAGACGATCAAGTCCTTTAAAGAGGTCAGTGGGTGTTTTTCATCACTACAGATGAAAAGAGCTGCTTCCATTCAAACATCTCATCATGTTTTTATTCAGAATGTTATCTCGTAACAGTTTTGTCTCTAACTGCCCCTGGCTGGTTTTAGCTGTCTGATTCGGGGGCAGACGTGATCGTAAACTGCACCGGGGTCAGATCAGGAGAGCTCCAGCCGGACCCGGATCTTAAACCGGGCCGTGGCCAAATCATAAAGGTGAGTGCGAGAAGCTTTAAGTTTATACAGAATGCATCAAAGCTCTTTAACTTTTCTTTGTGTTTAAGGTGGACGCTCCATGGCTGAAACACTGGATTATCACCCACAGCAATAAAGCTGGAACCTACAACACTCCATATATCATTCCAGGGTAGTTCCCGTAACACAACGTTGATTAAAAACTATACAATTCACGTGCTTAATTCGTTTTTCTGACCACATATATTTGGTTTAGAAGCAGAAAGTGAAAGAGCAGTTGTCATCATTTCTGTGTCTGCAGGAGTCGTCTTGTGACAGTTGGAGGATGTTTCCAGGTCGGGAACTGGAGCGAACAGAACAACTCCACCGATCATAAACATATCTGGGAATACGCTTGTCAGCTGGAGCCGAGTCTCAAGGTGAAAAAGAGCTGACAAAAGACATCCTGCCTCTGCTACAATTAATTATTAATAATGAGCGTAAGAATGTTACTGTGAAACAATCACAAAATAGTCTAAGTTGGAAGGAAGGTTCCCCGGCAGAGGGGTTGTCAGATTTTCTTTTCAAAATGGCCAAAGAGGGTCTTTGTTAACAATCTGTGAGCCTGCAGTCTGCGCCAGCAAACGCAGCTGCATTTTGTAAAGATCCTAAGTCAGTAAACAGGAGCGACCCAGAAGTTAGTTCTTGTACCCCTTAGAAGCCACAGCATCTTTTTGTTTTACTCCAATGTCAGGTAAAGAAGCTAAAAGCTAACATTGAGCTAACAATGTTACCGGTGAATTAGCAACAAATAATCAGGTCTAAAACTATCTTAAGCTACTTTTCCAATTACCAACAACTCGATATTACTATAACTTCACACTGGAGACATCAGCGACGCGCAACGGTAGCAGAACGGTTTACTCGCATGCTTCGCTACGCAGCAATCTGCATCAGGAGAGTCTCAATTGCCGAGCGGCTTCTCCACCATCCTCATCGCCAGACTCGCAAGATCCCTGTTACAAACCCTGAGTGTTAGGCGTTGTGGTAAGGGGTAACATAAAAACTGATGCGGAGAAAGGAGGGGTGAGTGTAAATACGTGATTTATTTTTACAAAACTCAAACCAAAATACACAGTCCTAGACTGGAAAAGTTCAAATTTAATGTAACTAAGCAAAACACACGACGGAGATAACTCAAAACACCTGGGACAAACAGTCCCAGGGAAGAAAACACGAGAATAAATATAGATCTAAAAAGAAAAACAAAGAGCCGGAACTAACTAAAAACCAAATCTCGACGGCTATCAATATTCAAATGGGTATAAACGAAAAGCAAGCTACAAAGCTGAAAACGAAAACGAAAAGGCCTCACTGGGGCAGAACCAAACGGGATCTCTACACGAACAAACGGTTACTAATTATTATTCACATTCTAGTCAAAGCTACTCGAATATCACACAAATCTAACCGAGGAGAGAAAGACAGAGGTTTAGTCTGTGAGTCTCTCCCCGAAGACTGAAACATGAGTCCTTTTAAACTAGTGGTCTTCATTGAGGCATTGGTTGCAGCTGGTACAGAGGAGGCGGGCCGAGGCGGAGGCCAGCCTGACTGAGGACCTGTCCAAGGTCCTGAAAAGCCTGGAGGGAAAAGCACAGAGCCATACAATCCCAAAATCCCCAACGGTCTTCAACGGTCATGGTTTGTTTAATGCCATCCGTCGTTAAACCAAAAAGAAGAAGAAATCATGTTTGATATCATTGTTTGATGTTGTATATAATGTTGTTCCTCTCCACTGCCAGGATTAAAGCAATGAAAAACACATTGTTGCACTCCTCAAAAAATGATGGGAATAAATAAGCCGTTAGGTCACATGTATTGACGTAATCTACATAAATATGAAATCGCATCTCTGCAAAAGTCTTTTAAACATTACTAGATGTTTTACACTGACACCGTGTGTGATTTACCATCTAGCCCTGTTAACTGTGGCTCGCAGCAAAAATAGAACCTAATCCTACCTTTAGCAGTGTGCCACAGTGTGCTGCTTCTGGGGTGAGCCTGAAAATGTACACATCGCGACTGGTTTGGTTCAACCCATAGACTATAATGGATTCTTTTTGCAGCCACGACATTCTGCATTGCTGATGTCTCCAGTGTGAAATCTGGGTTACCAAGAAATGTGTTGATTTACTTATCAACTTACTGCGAATGACTCCGTAATTATCACCTAGAATCTTCTGGTGCAGGGGCCTCATTTATCAAGCTTGCTTACACACAAAACAGGGTCGGAAAACTGTAAGCAACTTTCCACGCAAACTTTGGGATTTATGGAAGAAAACTTAGTGGAAAAATGTGCGCAACTTTAAGTTGACTAAGGACCTGGCTTACGCACATTTTGGACATGGAGAGCACCTGCAGTGCTGCTGCTGAGAAGGATAAAATTATGAAATCCTGCAGCATTATCACTTGTACTGCTTTGTTTTCACACAGAACAAGGCCCTCCCACACGCACACACACACATGCGCGCGTACACACACACACATGCTCGCACACTCACACACGTGCGTGCACACACACACACACACACAGCCTGAAGTGTGGAATATGGAATGCAGAATATCAGCAGGGGCAGATTGAGACAGAATGTCATGCGTCTGTGACGGTGTCACTGTGACCCGATTGATCATGCGCCCTGGCCAGTTGTACAGGGGAGATCTCTGTTTGGCTGACTGGTTAGTGCATCAGCGTGCGTGACTTTCACCTGGCAATCGAATGTCAATTGGACCTTTTTTTTTTAATATCCACCACAGATCTCTCTGAAGAATTCACAACGTTGACGGCTTCAGCAACGCTGTACCACTCTGTGGATTTTCTCTTATTTTTTTTGCAAAAGCACTTCCTTTCATTTCTCCACCTCACCCACAGGTACCTCAATTTCTGCTTCTGTGAAATTGCGCTTCCTTGATCTGCCTTGATCTACGGTCGCCATTGTCATTGGCGCAACGCTGCAACAGCCGGCTTATGTATATGCATGAGATCCACAAGGAACTTTGCATTGACTATTTATGGCAGTAAGTGGGCGTGGTGAGGGCGGGATGTGACTAAAATGCAGCTGAGAAACATTCTCGTTAGTCTCCGATTGATGAAGCTGAGATTGCGTGCAGCTGTGTGTACTCCCATGTTTGTTAGATCACAAACCTACTTCGCGTAAGTACTTTTTTTTTTTGCTGAGCTTAAGTAAGGTTTTAGTAAGGATTCTACGCAATGTTTGATAAATGAGGCCCCTGATCCGTAACTGGCAACCGCCATGAAACTCACTGGACAGTAGTGAGAAAGTTACTCGTGCGTTTTGAAAATGGGCTGCATTACCCAAATCTGACCATAGGATGTCATTCTTCATACATAATGCATCTTTAATTATTTAACCGTTTATTTTAGATATGTGGTGAAGTATCATCATAGGAGAGAGCTTTCTCCTAATTATACCTAAGTGACTTGCTACTGCATGTGTCTTGTTTTTCCCCTCCTCAGCATGCCAGAATAGTCGAGGACTGGGCAGGTCTCAGACCAGCTCGCAGTAAAGTCAGGCTGGAGCGGGAGACCATACGGTCCGGTGCATCTACAATAGAGGTTAAACGATTAAACAGCTTTACTTAGACAAACATCTTGTTATTTAGCAGTTCTAACCCACAGTATCCCTCATCCAGGTGATACACAACTACGGTCATGGAGGATTTGGACTTACCATCCATCGAGGCTGCGCCCAGGAGGCAGCGAGGCTCTTCGGTCAGATCTTGGAGCAGAAAGGAAATTGTCCTAAAGCTCAGCTGTAGTTTAGTGTTCAGTAGCTGTGAATAGTTCACTCTTAGGCACAAGCACTTCTAATGGAAATATAAACACAGTAAATTGACAAATGAGTGGTAATAACACTACAGTAATATAAAATTGAATGAAACTGCTTAAATGGAGCCACATTTAGTTAGAATAAAAACTACATCAATAGTACTAAAAGCATTTATTTTTCCAAACGATAAAATAATTACTTTAAATTTTGTAATAAAAACGTGAATCCACTTTGTGTTTTTGAAAGGTTATTTACTGCTTTATCATACACATTTCCATCCAGTGCATTGACAAGGATCTGTGCACGCAGATGCTTATCGCAGCTCCACGGGCCTGCAGACGGACCAGTGCTTGGTAATCTGTCTCCGCGTCCACCTTTGTTGCAACCAAGAGCAAAGACATCTTCTGAACCGAGTACTTACACATTATTTATAGAGACAGCGTCACATCCAGGTGGAGGTCAGGGCAGAGTCTGGGGGAGTGCTGAAGCCTCTCTCAGAAGCAGGAACATTTTTTCTTATCTAGTTATGTTCAGTTTATTATTACTTTATTTTTAAAGGTGTGGTTGATTGAAAAAACATTTTCTAGATGTTTTTTTCTGATTATAATCAGTCACTCTGAGTTTTTGAGACTGAAAATGAAAATAGCCTACATCCATCTCCTGCATTAGCGTCTGATAGAAAATAGACAATGAAACTCTAGGATTTGAAAATACGGATTTACGTCACACTGTCACTTAACATTCATAGACTCACCCATGACTAACAACAGGATAGGCTGTTTTAATGTTCAGGAAACAGCAGAGAATGTCTCTTTGTGGAGATAAAACATCACGTTGCAAGTCAGTGGTAGAATGGTGTTACTCTTATCGTTTCTGCGGCGAGATGCCCAAATAACATGAAATAGGACTGCAAAATCTAGCAGTCTGAAGCTCAGCTGTGATGTAGGCAAGGTCCGTGAAATGGTGCACCAGTATATGACCCCCCCCCCCCCCCCCGACCCCCCCCCCCCCCCCCCGAAACAACTTACAAGGCATTCATTTCTACTTGGTAACACTACAAATGTATTGATTACACAAGTCCACCACTCCTTTAATTAAAAAACTGCCTTAAAATCCTCATGAGGTTAGTTACAAATTTGTGATTTTATTAGCTTATTTTTTTTAGGTTTTAACAGATCCAATGGAAAAATTATGACTTAAGATCAGTCATGCAGCTTAGATTATCCAATCAGGGCAGACTAAACTTTATGGAAGGTCAGTAAGAAGCATCTTGTTCCATCATTAAACCTGAGTTCTCAATCCCATCACCTGACTAAATGGTAAAAAAGCACAAATCATCATAACTGACAGTCTTGGAGGGTGATTTTCAGAATAAAAGTCCCTCTTGTACTATACTGTTAACATGGCAGCTCAAAGACCTATAAGACTGTCATCATGTTTTATCCTCTGATGAAGGCTTTAGCTGATGTGCTCACTTATGGATTCAAAGTTCAAACCCGTACTCTTCATGTTTTCACCCAACTTTCTTACCAAAATGATAAAAATAAACCCTCAGCCTGACTGTAGCATGATAACATGCATCATAAAGCTGCTGTGAGAAGTTGTCTTTTTCTTCTGCGAAACACTTTTTTGTAACAAAGTGCGTTTAAATCTGTGCATCTGACAATCTTGTTATCAATATTCTAAAACTAGTTGTTTTCTCAGTGTGGATCCTACAAACTGATTAAGTTGTTTTAAGCCTGTTTAAAAAAAAAGGTTTGAACTTGAACACCCCCCCCCCCCCCCCACCCCCCACCCCCAGGAAACTTTGATCACCATTTGCTCTCACACTCGTGTGGGTCATCTGGCCATTCTAAATCACCCTGTGTGGAGTTAAACATGACAGCAATGGTGGAAACAGACTACAGTGACATGTGAAAGGACTGTGCTGCCAGGCTCTCTGATGCCGCTCTGGTGTCCAAACACAGGAAATACAGAAGAAGGGCAGAGAGCTGACTGGATTTCCTCCATGATTTTGTTTCGTTTCCTTTGCTGTCCCTTTTTGGTTGTGTGTCTTCCACCGTGCTCTCAGCCCTGAGAGCCAGAGCTGGAGTGTGTGACTCCCTCTGATTTGTGTCCAATCATCTCCTGTCCCCACTCACGATTGGATTCCTGCAGGCCTCGGCCCGTGGTCTCAATGGGCAGAGCACAGGAGGCGACAGCTGCGAAGAGGCAGCAGCAGCAGTACACTGAGAGGGCCAGGTAGACCGAGGACTCCAACATCACCTTCAGAATGACGACAGCATTATCCATATTATTACAATAGTATAATTTTATATCAACATTTTTATTTTTTTGCTAACATGTTTACGCAAAGATGATTCACCTGTGCAACAAAAGGAGTGATGAGTGCACCGACTCTGGCCATTCCACTGCTCGTTCCCAGACCTAAAGCTCTGGTCGCTGTGGGATAAACCTGCAGAAGATACAGGAGCACCAGCCATTTTCTGCTCTGTCTGCAGCTGATTTGAGCTGTTTTGCATTTTCCACAACACAAGCTAAAGCCGCTGCATGTCCGTTACCTCTGGAGTGTAAACATAAGCAGCCTGAAAGCCTCCTGCGATGAATGCTCTGGCGATGAAAATTAACACAGTCATGGAAGCTCTGCAAGGAATAAACGGTTGTGAGTGGGCGCCCATGGAGGAGGATAAACAATTCATGAATTGCAAGTAAGCCTAATCAAATCTGATTCTACCTCCCAACACAGCCATACAGTGGAATGATGCACAGAGAGAAGATTAGGAAACACAATGCCATGGTCTTCCTCCTTCCCAGGCGATCGATAGCCCACAGCGTCACCAGCAGTCCTGCAGGACATCAACAGAACATGTCATCATACGCAGAGTAAATGTATCACCTCATAAATAAAAGATGATGCACCAGAATAATGTTAAAACATTGTTATTCATATCAACAATGGAGCAAGCTGAGAAAAAGTTGAGCTGAACAGCATCTAGTGGATAATTATTTAATCAGCAAGACAGTTATTTTATCAGAATATTAATTACTTCATTTCATGCTAAATAAAACAATAACTGCTGGAAAAAGCCATTAAACATCCCATTCTGACTGAAAAGTAAGTGAGAACGTGAAATCAAACTGAATTTAGTGATATTTACCTGGGAATTCAGATAAGGTGGTCCACAGCAGGTCTTTGTAGTCATCAGAATTCAGGTATTTGCACTCCAAGCTGCATCGGAGCTCCTTCTTGTCACCTTTGGACGCTAGATGGAAATATTAAAAAGCAAACAGCAGTTGTTCTGTCATGTTTTTGTGATGCATCCTGCAGAAATATAACTGTTCTCCTCGGCCTGACTCACTTCCACACGCGCCTCCCTCCTGAAACAGCTCTGTGGTGAGCAGCACCAGCCCGTAGTAGGAGAAGGCGTTAGCAAACCTGCACTGACAGAGATCCAAATTGAAATCATGCAAAGACAGATTAGGAAGGATAATTTGAAGAAAATACTAACTGAAATGAGCATGACGTAAAAGATGGAGACTTAGGAGGATGACTCGTTTACCAAATAAACCACAGCAGTACTGTGGTGCAGCGGAAGTGCGACGAAAATAAATCTTGAATCTTCCCACGATCTTCCTATTTTAAAACAACATGCCTTTTAAAAACAGTGCTTAAGTTACAGTGTATGCATGTACAGTATCTGGCAAAAAAACATACCTGTCTGGCAGCAATTAGTTTTCCCAGAGGCATGGGGGCGCCATTCTCCGTGGCGATGCGTTTCAGTGTGGCCAGAGCCTTTTCCTGGTTCCCAGTCAGCACATCGTATCGAGCACTCTCTGGTAGCCACTGTTACCACACACAAGCCCAGATGTAAGCATGTCATGTCACAAAGCTGTGCTGCTGCACAACCACTCAGGACAAATGTACTCACATAACACAGAATAGCAAATATGAAAAGAGGAATGGTGGATAGGCCCAGCAGCCAGCGCCAGCCCAGAGTGGGCATCACCAGGATGGCCAAGAGGACTTCAAAAACAGTGCCAAGAGCCCAAAAGATCTGCAACATCAGAAAACACAGGTTTTTAAAGTGTTGATGGGTATTTTTGGTCAAAATTATATTAAATGGGAAAATTCAGTAGTGTAAGGAAACTCCTACCTCAATCAGTAAGATGCATGTGGCTCTGGATCTCATGGGAAGGAATTCAGCATACAGGGTCACCCTTATAGAAAAGGACACTTCAGTTTAATCCTCAGCTCAGTTCTTTATTGTTGTTTTAGGAAGTGATGAATGACAAGAACTCACGACTGCGGTGCCCCTCCAATGCCAAAGCCCACCAGCGCGCGGAGGACCAAGATCCACCCATAAATAGGAGCAAACGCACTCATGAGGCCATAGAAAATGGTCCAAAACACACTCATGGTCAAACCCTGTTAGTGTGTGACCAAAGCAAAGATGTCAGTTCATGCTTTACATTAGGCTCAGAAAATCTTGTGCAATGCTCAAGCTCAGAAGTTGGAGTATTGACCAATCAGTCATTCAGATTTTCACCAAAACTCACCGTCTTTCTGCCATATCTGTCTGATATGTTTCCCCAAAGAGAAGAGCTGATCATCATCCCAATGAACACCGCCTGCATCAAGGATAGTTTCAGTTTTAGCTGATGTCAACCCTAAGCTCTCATCCACATCAAACTATCTCTAGGAGCAATCCCCTGTGTGTGAATGGGTGAATGACTGATTGTGTTGTAAGGCGCTTTTTTTTTTGGGGGGGGGGGGGGGGGGGGGGGTGCCAGAACAGACAAATTCTAAGACTTTTTAGAACCAGTACCGATGTGAGCAGTGCCACCTCAAGGCTTGGAAGTCTCCATTCACAGTGAAGCTGTGGAGCTAAGATACTGAGGATCATCATCTCCATGGCATCAGCCATCTAACCAAACAGAGAACAGAGAAATACCAAAGTAAAATGTGTGCAAAGAAAGAAAAAACTGTTGTAGTGATTTTATCTGGTGCTTGACCAGTTCTCACCCAAGACAGACCAGTGAGGATGGACAGTTTCCATTGAAAGGTCCCAAAGCCGATGGCCTCCACAGCATCTTCTACCATGAACGTGTCTAAACGTACAGAAGAAGCACTGTAATCTACGTGTATTAAATATTATTAGAGTTGTGTCTAATCTTCTATGCCACACCGTCAGTTGGATTAGCAAACTCTCGAGGCACCGGCGCTCCTTCTGCAAGAGCCACAGACTCCAGATCAGCACTCCCTGCTGTCCTGACTTCCTGTTCTTGGTTTTCAACATCTTCCTCAGAGCGAGTGCTCTCGCCTGTGCGACGGAAGCGGACAACGCTGTGAAAACAAGCAAACAAATAGAAAACAACTAAAAGTTCATTTGTTCTGCTTGCAATAAGTTGCAGGAAGAATGAATTTTCTGTTTTGAAGCGAGTGTCAGGTGAAATCTGAGCACACATAACATTCAAAAGTTGCCTTGATGCTTTCATTTTGGCTGTAACAGTGAAAATTTGTGGCATCCTAGTTTAATGTGAGAACCATGTCAGGAGATTTTACAGCTCTCTAGCTTAGGTCATAATGACCAGATATTTACATGCAGATGGTAAGTAACCTATAATCTTGTTCCACATGCAGATAATTGATGGTTACAGTTACAAAGAGAATAGAGTGTGCTGGCGGATCCTTAATTACAGTAATTTCCCAACATAGCCTTCTTCCCCATGTGAATTATCAGTGCTACAGCTAAGATGTAAGGATTTTAAAATAATTATTCTTTTAGTTTTCTTCAGGAATTACTCCACTGAAATAACTCCAACAGAAGACACACGTTTGCGTTCAGCGTTAGTGCACATGTAAGTGGGTGTTTGTCCAACCCTGACCCTACATATAGTATCTTGTATGTATCGTTTTTCAAGTTTAAATTGTTAATTTATGTGCACCAAGGTTTACATCCATCATATAATGTTCTGAGTCATGACACTAAACACCAAAACAAGGTAAAATCACTGCGAACCTGCACGTTTCTCATCACATATGAAGAGGCTGTGGATGTAAACAAACTGCACCGCCAGAAGAAACGGAACATTTTCTAATATTTAATCCAACATGTCTAGCATATCCTATCCAGATGAATTTCTGCTGCTTTGCTGCTCGTTTGTGGTCCGGTGAGCTAATGAAACAAACACGGATCAGTCAGAGGGCGACGCATCCGACAAACGCGTTTTATGACTGAAAACAAAACGTCACCGATGTGCAGACTGAGGTCTACTCACGGAAGTTGCCTCAGCTGAAACAGGTCATCATCCATTTTGGTGTTTTCTTGGCCGGTGTTCCGTCTGACCTCATCGCCGGTTACATTGTCACGACGAGCAGCGATTTCAGCACCGAGGAGAGCGACTTGGTCCGGGAGTCCGCCGGCAGCCAATCAGAGGCCGCCGTGCGCGTTACGCAAAGTGGCAAGGAGGAATGGGGTGGGGGGTGGGGGGGGGGGGGGTGGGGGGACCGGTTCACAGAGATCTGACTTGTCAACAGTCACTGCTGGTCAACCTGCACAGAGCACAAGGTTTTACAACTGTTTACAGTTTAAAAGAAAGCTAATTAAGTTCCAGTTATCACATAAGTGTTTAAAATGTGTATTTATACAAATGACAAAACCTTCATCACCAAAACTCTGTAATCACTCGCTGTTTTCTTTAAGTCCTTGCATAAGTACAATGCAGTTAATTAGTTTTATTTTATACTTTTATGTACCTAAACGAAGTATTTAAAATATGTGTATAGCCTATGTTTCATCTAGCCAAGGCCTATATTTTAATATTTGTGCCATGCAAATTGGAATTAACTGTGACGTATAAAATAAGGGTTTCAAAATAAAAACCGAATCTGTGAAAAAAAAAGTTCAAAATAAAATTATTTTTGCTTTACAGTTTAAATAAAAATAAATGACAAGCGACGTCTTCTTGGGTATGCTTTTCCGCTGGTCCGTGTGGAAACACGCTCCCCAAGTCGAGTGTTCCAGTGCGCTAGCAGGATGTTGTCTTGCAGACCAGACAGCTCTGATAAGCTTGTTGGGGAGTTTCTTGGCACAGGACCCGTAATCAGGTAAATCTCTCAATGTGGCAGACAGCAAGTGTTTATTATGTGTTTAGTGCGCAGGGATAGCGGTAGCTTCTGCACATTTGTACCCCGCACGGAGCACCGAGAGAAACAGCGCACACCTTTAATGCCTCTGTGCCTACAAAGCAACGTTAACGGTTACTTTAAAGACATGTTTATTGTATATTGCGAGACAGGAGCTTGGATGTTTTACATTTCTGAAGCTGACACGTTCTTCACAGGGCAGCCTGACCTCGTTGTTGTTGGTAAATTAGCCTAAAAGCTAAAGCTAGTTTGCTAGTAGCTCAGCTTCTTTGTGTTGCTAGGTCGTGTTTACTTACTAGTTGGGACTAGATAACATCACACTTAACTCCTCAAATCTTCCAACAAACTATGAAAAACCAGAGTGTGTTGTTAGAAACTAGGTTTCATGTGATCAAGTCGCGCCGTGGCTCGGTTTCTTATAGATTAGTGGGTCAGTTAGTCTGCTGGGGTTACACACACTCTGAAAGACATTAGTTGTAGCATGAAGCACAATCACGAAGTTTAAATACAGGCACATTATCTGTAAAAGTTTGTTTGTGTTAGTTATTAAGTTTCTTTTTAGTTATTTTTTTCTAAATTATCACAAAATTCACCACCACCCCTGAACAAGTTTTGCTTAATTAAACTCAGTTAGTTGTGCCTCCTACACTGTAATTCAACTCTATTTAACATTTCCCACAACTTTACCTCCATATTAACATTTTCTCTGTTTTACCAGAAACAAGATGATAAAAAACTGGAGCGTCATCGGAGGGATAGCGGCTGCGATTGCTGCTGGAGTTTATGTCATGTGGGGCCCAATTACAGTAAGGAAGAAAAGGAAAAGAGGTATGGATCTGGCGTATACATGTTGTTGAGGGGTGAAATTAGCTGTCATGTCATTTTCAATCTTTCAGTTTATTTATTTTGTTTTGATTTTCTTCATAAATGTATTCATAACATGAACTGGTCTTTAGACAGCTCTCCCGTTGGCATTGTTATTTATCCGGACTGATAACATGTGCCTGAATTAACACTTGTACAGATTCCATGTGTGACAAAGGTTATGAAGGTAATTGTTTCTCCACAGGTATGGTCCCAGGTCTGTTAAATCTGGGCAACACCTGCTTCTTGAACGCTCTGCTCCAGGGCTTGGCTGCCTGTCCGTCCTTCATCAAATGGTTAGAGAAGTTTTCAGGCATGCCCACGATCCAATCATGCAAAGGCAACCAGCTGTCTACCACACTGCTGCAGCTTCTCAAAGGTGACTAAATCTGATTTATCATCTAAGTCGGTGGACTGTAAATAGCATGCTGGGCTCATATTCCTGTTATTTCCCTCTACTTTCCCTGAAAGCTCTGTCCACTGATGAACCTGGAGAAGAAGACGTTCTTGATGCTGGATGCCTCCTGGATGTTCTCAGATTGTACCACTGGCACATCAATTCATTTGAAGAGCAGGTTATTCCACATAATCCATAATGCATTTTTTTGTCCCAGTCGTGTTCGGAGGAAAAAAGGAATGCTCCTGTGTTTTATTATAATCAAATATATATATTTTCTCTCTCCTCTTTTAAGGATGCACATGAACTTTTTCATGTTCTCACATCTTCTCTGGAGGAGGAGCGGAATCGTCAACCCAAAGTCACTCATTTATTTGATGTGCAGTCGCTCGAGGCAAGTTAGAACCTGCACAGAAACTGAAAACTGTGCACACATTTCTGTTGGTTGCTCCACGTCTTCCCACACACCTGAGACTATTTCAAACTGCATCTTAATTTACTTATGTTTCCAAAATGTGCTCCATCTTAATTTGTGTTAATCTTATTACTAGAACCTTCCCAATCACGAAGACAAAACTATGGCCTGCAGAAGTCGAGGTAGGAAGAAAAAGAACAAACTTTAGACTCTAAATGTAAAAAAACCAGGAGGAAATACATTTCATCTTTTTTTTTTTTTTTTTTGCAGCTCCTCTTCATCCAATACCAGATCCTTGGAAGTTTCACCATCCTTTTCACGGTCGCTTAACAAGTAACATGTCCTGCAAGCACTGCGAGATACAAGTGAGTTTGCTTTCCTTTAAAAAGTTCCACATCATTTTGTTACGCTTAGTTCTAGAAGTGAATCGTGCATGTTTTTTTAGAGTCCGCTGCGATATGACTCGTTTGAGAGTCTTTCCTTGTCCATCCCTCTTCCTCAGTGGGTGAGTCAGGAAAGCTTGCTGCTACAACGCTGTGTGACAGTTTAACATCGCACTTCAGTAAAAGAATTAAAAAAAAATCTATTGATTTATTTCCTGTTTGTCCTCAGGGTCGGCCCATCTCTTTAGACCAGTGCCTGCAGCATTTTATTTCATCAGAAACTATCAAAGAAGTGGAGTGTGAAAACTGTACAAAGGTTCTGCTCTTTCTAAAACACCTTAATCATTCCCTCGGAGACTTACGGGTAACAAAAGTACCACTCTTTTTTTTTTCTCAGCTTCAACAAAGCACAACTCTAAATGGGCAAGTTTTGGAAAACCAGAGGACGACGTTTGTCAAACAGCTGAAACTTGGAAAGGTGTTTTTCTTTTTGTCACAGTGAACTAGATATAACAGCATCCAACATGGACGCGTAATTGTAACACTGGTTCTTTTTGCGTCTGTTAGCTCCCTCAGTGCCTCTGCATCCATCTGCAACGACTGACCTGGTCCAGTGAAGGAACCCCCATCAAACAACAGGAGCACGTGCAGTTTACAGAGTTTCTGTTGATGGATCGCTACAAACACAACAGCTCCTCACCAAAGAATCGGCTGAATAAGTGTTCTTCCATAGCTGAAACGCCTGGGAGTTTAAATGATAACACAGAAAGGCCAAAAGCCAATGGAAAGGGTTTGTTTTTCTGAATGTTCTACCAGTATGCTTTGATCGTTTTTGTTTATTTGTTGTGATCTTACCACTAATCTGTTGTTTTGCAGATACAGAACATCACAACAACAACAAACCTTTCTCTAATGACAGCTGTTCGTCTGTATTTCTTCATTCTTCTGGTTTAAACCCACAGCTTGGCCTCTCATTCGACTACAGGTAAAATGATCAACTATTTAATTCACTCATTATGAAAATCAGCGTTCATAAACACGTATTTTCTGTCTATCCCAGTGTCTTTCCCTCTAGTTCGACAGAGTACTTGTTCCAGCTCATGGCTGTGCTGGTGCACCATGGGGACATGCACTCGGGACATTTCGTCACGTACCGCCGCAGCCCCTCAGCCTTCAGCTCACAGTGGCTTTGGGTGTCGGACAATTCGGTACGGAAAGCCAGCCTGCAGGAGGTGCTGTCCTCTAACGCGTACATGCTCTTCTATGAAAGAGTTGGGAGGCCGAGCCTCGGTCCAAACTCAAACGAGTCATTGAGCCTTGAGGGGAAAGCTATTAGGTCGAAAATAATTTTGTCTTGATGTGACGCAGCATCACACTGCGTATTATGTGAACGCTATGCTGCTCTGATCATAACAGGATGCTCCTAATTCTAAAGATGATGGATCTGCAGGATTTTTCTCATGTTTTGGGTCAGGTAAGCTAGTTTTTCAGATGTATTTTAACCCATTTTTGTAACATTTCTACTCTACATTCTGAGATAAACAGGAATAATATCGTTTACACCAAGGAAACAAACTTGGGGTACAGTCTTCATATTTACACCTCATAATTAAATTTTTGATGAAGATGTGGGATTATTATTCTGGGCTGTAATCATAAAGCAAATATACTCTTAGGGGGTCCTGTCAATTGTTCCAAAGCTGCTGATATTTTGTGATACTGAGAAGTTGTTACAAAATGTGAAACATCAGGCATTTTAGTTTTATTTTTTTTACTTCAGCTCTGTTGAATTCATTCCCATTACAGATTATAAAATATCCTTGAGATGTTTAAATTTACACCTTTTTAGACTGTTATGAAATCATCTGTACAGTGTCATCATTTGCAGAGCTGCATGATTGAAAATAAAGTACCTAGTTCTCTTTAATGCTTGAGAGTTTTAAAACCTGAAACCACTAATGTGACCATCTACACTGGGACCTTTTTGGAAATGATCATGCACAGCAGCCTGGATTTTTAATCCTTTTTAATCTGGGTAATTTATATTGAATGGTTTTAACGCACAGCAGTAGATTACTGTTGTTTCCTACCAAACCAGGAAAATCTAAAACATCCAGCCTGGCGTTTGCACTGATGTGTTTTCATGTGAGCGCATACATATCTGTGCAGTCTGAATGTGTTTTCTGATAAGAAAAAATTCATTTGCGCTTTTCATTAAATAAAAGTGGGAGAAGACCTAAAGGAAGACCCAGGACAAGCTGGAGGGACTACAGGTGCTGGCCAGTAAATTAGAATATCATCAAAAGGTTGAAAATATTTCAGTAATTCCATTCAAAACGTGAAACTTGTACATTATATTCATGCAATGCACACAGACCAATGTATTTCCAATGTTTATTACGTTTAATTTTGATATTTATAGGTGACAACCAATGAAAACATCAAATCTGGTATCTCAGAAAATTAGAATATTCTAAAGGCCAATGAAAAAATGTTTGTTTCTCTAATGTTGGCCAACTGAAAAGAATGAACATGAAAAGAATGTGCATGTATAGCACTCAATACTTAGTCGGGGCTCCTTTTGCCTCAATAACTGCAGTAATGCGGCGTGGCATGGACTCGATCAGTCTGTGGCACTGCTCAGGTGTTATGAGAGCCCAGGTTGCTCTGATAGTCGTCTTCAGCTCCTCTGCATTGTTGGGTCTAGCGTATTGCATCCTCCGCTTCACAATACCCCATAGATTTTCTATGGGGTTAAGGTCAGGCGAGTTTGCTGGCCAATCAAGGACAGGGATACCATGGTCCTTGAACCAGGTGCTGGTGGTTTTGGCACTGTGTGCAGGTGCCAAGTCCTGTTGAAAGGTGAAGTCTGCATCCCCATAAAGTTGGTCAGCAGCAGGAAGCATGAAGTGCTCTAAAACTTCCTGGTAGACGGCTGCATTGACCCTGGACCTCAGGAAACAGAGTGGGCCAACACCGGCAGATGACATGGCACCCCACACCATCACTGACGGTGGAAACTTTACACTGGACCTCATGCAACGTGGATTCTGTGCTTCTCCGCTCTTCCTCCAGACTCTGGGTCCTTGATTTCCAAAGGAAATGCAGAACTTGCTTTCATCAGAAAACATAACTTTGGACCGCTCAGCATCAGTCCAGTCCTTTTTGTCCTTGGCCCAGGCGAGACGCTTCTTGCGCTGTTTCTTGTTCAAGAGTGGCTTGACACACGGAATGCGACACCTGAATCCCATGTCTTTCATGAGTCTCCTCGTGGTGGTTCTTGAAGCGCTGACTCCAGCTGCAGTCCACTCTTTGTGGATCTCCCCCACATTTTTGAATGGGTTTGTCGTCACAATTCTCTGCAGGGTGCGGTTATCCCTAGAGCTTGTACACTTTTTTCTACCACATTTTTTCCGTCCCTTCGCCTGTCTGTTAATGTGCTTGGACACAGAGCTCTGCGAACAGCCAGCTTCTTTAGCAATCACCTTTTGTGTCTTGCCCTCCTTGTGCAAGGTGTCAATGATTGTCTTTTGGACAGCTGTTAAGTCAGAAGTCTTCCCCATGATTGTGGTGCCTTCAAAACAAGACTGAGGGACCTTTTAAAGGCCTTTGCAGGTGTTTTGAGTAAATCAGCTGATTAGAGTGGCAGCAGGTGTCTTCTATATTCAGCCTTTTCAGAATATTCTAATTTTTTGAGATACCAAATTTGGAGTTTTCATTAGTTGTCACTTATGAATATCAAATTTAAATGTAATGAACATTGGAAATACATTGGTCTGTGTGCATTGCATGAATATAATGTACAAGTTTCACGTTTTGAATGGAATTACTGAAATATTTTCAACCTTTTGATGATATTCTAATTTACTGGCCAGCACCTGTATGTTTTTTGGTTGGCCAGGGAACACCTTGGGATTCCAAGTTGCTGGGGAGAGGGAAGTCTGGGCCTCTGCTTAGGTTGCTGCCCCTGCGACCCAATTCCAGATAAGCAGATGAAAACTGATGGAAAAAAACTTTTGTTGGTGTACATGGAAAATCAGACTGTATCTGTTCCAAAGAGCAGAACATGCATGAAGCTGTGTTGCGACGGGTGGAGCATGGGGACAGAACAGATCCAGGCAAGATTCAACACGACAACAAGAAGGTTGATAGGCTAGCAAGCTTACATTTTCCATCTGAATCATCAGATGGTTGACACTGAAATCTTGATGCAAACTAGATGTTGAATGAATGTTGCAAAACTGATGAATCCCGACAGAGACAGCAGTGATATTAAGATTGTTTCTCTCAATTGAAATATAAGTGAAAATGCATTGATCTGTAGTCAGGGCCAGATTAACACTTTGTTGTACCCTGGGCAACAATATTCAAGGGCCCCATCATCACGACCCAAGGATCACTATAATATGGTCACATACAGAATATTTTACTATAATATGCAGTAAATATACTCAATACTTAAATGCGTGGCATCATGTAACCCGCTCAGGGTAACCTTTAACCCACGTTGTGTGGACTGACCAATGAGGAGAGGGTCTTAACTTGAGGCCCTCTCTTCATTGGTCAGTCTGCATGAGTCTGACTCTCAACTGACGTTCAGTCATAGGCAGCGAAGCGTCTCTGTGCAGTGCAAAAGCCCGGGTGGACAGTTTGTTTAATAGGGTGACCATATTTCCATTTCCAAACAAGAGGACAGGGGATCTGTGCCTATGACGTCACACTATGGCAACACTACACAAACCATGTTGGGACCCATTTTTTGTAAGAACTAAATATCAGATTCTGCCAATAAAAGGGCTCTAAAACAATTCATATGTAAATATTTTTGCATATTTAATGCAAAATCTCATTTTTCTGCTTTAGTGAACGTTTTATTAATAAGAAATAATTATACCGTTAGTTTTACTGCAGCATCGGTAAGCTTCCTGTTCACAGATTATTAAGGATGCTTGTTTCAGCTGTGAGATTAGACGATAGGGTCTGTTTTGCCTTGGCCCCCAAAATGCCTTGAAACGGCCCTGGGTGTGTGACTGAGTTTTGAAGGTGATCTGAATTGTGTCAAATGTATAAATATTACATGTGTATAACTTATTATTTTATACAGGTAAAAACGCGTAGTGGAGATAAATCTACCTACGTTACTTTTCAACACTTGTTTTCTTGTTTTTATTGAACTATTTTCCTCTCCTCTAACCTCTCCAGAAAAACTGCTGTAAGGTGCATCTATGAGGTTAAGGTTCAACATACATGTCTTTCATATACCTTATTATGATGTCAGCCTTATTTCCGCTTTTGTCCTTTTCACAATAAAAGAATGTTTACACACATTCTTATTTACAGCTGTATACACATGCAGCATACAACAGGGCATATTTTACTGATGCTTAACAGGCCTTGTCTGTAGTTGTGTTGAAATGTTAGCATTGTTTCAATACAAAATTTGGCTGATATTGACTAGATGGTTTAAAGTGGACACTGCAATGTGAATTCTACATTGTTTCATTGTAGGCTTGCTACCTGGGTTGAAAAGTTTGGACGTTTGTGGATCTCTGACTGCCTGCTATTGTTTTACAAGCCAGAACTAAAAATCTCATTTTGAAATTAAATACCAGTGAAGGCCATGCTAGTCATAACTGGATGATCTGGTTCATAATTATTCAGGGCGTGTCCAGGGAGTGGCCGGGGGTTAGCACATGCCACCCTTGGAATCTGATTGGCCACCCCAGGTGCCACCACACTAATTTCCCTTTAAATAGGCTTTTCATTGTCTACAAAAGGCTTGAGGGTAAAACAAAAAAAGCATAACCATTGGTGCCACCCATGCACAAAGTTGTGCCTCACCTGGGCCACCCCATTTTAAAAGATCTAGACACGCCACTGTAATTATTGACAAGTCTGATTAAATTAGACTCGAATCGATCCACAGGTGTACCCCCCCCCCCCCCCCCCCCCCCCCACACACACACACACACACATTAGTGCCCTTCACAATATTGCGGCGATGACGACGCGCACGCAGCGTCTTCTCTTTTCCTGTTAGTGTTGAACTTCTTCCTTGTACGACATTCGTCCGGGAGTGAATCGCTGCAGATGTCGAGCAGAAAACGTAAAGCCAAAAGTGTGTTGGAAAAGTTTAACGATGAGGAATCCACGTTTCCTGGAACAAAATATAAAAGGATCAAACCGCACAGCAGTGATGGCCTCGTACACGAACAAAGCACTGAGACCGTTGAGCAGGATGAGGGAGCGACAGCTGAGAGGAGCTTCCATAAAGAGGTCCAGGTAAGTGAGCAGGCAGAAACATGACCAGCAGGCCTTACAGGATGAATATATATAACTTTCATGCAAATGTAGAAATTAATCTAATTCAGTTTAATTTTTTTTTCCAATTCACATCAAAGCTTCACTTTAAATGTCCAACTCATACCATGTCCTGATTTAAGCCAGGTTTCGGCACTAAATTCAATTTGATTGTAATAAAATTAGATTCACACAACTATTGAGATATGCGATTGTTTATTGAGATATGCGATTGTTTGTTTTGCACTATCCTACATGTAGATCTTTTTTTTTTTAATGAATATATTGTATATCATATTTCTATTTCACCTGTTCCTTTGTCTCTCCAACTGCTTTGAGCATGTACATGACACAAGAATTTCCCTCGGGATAAATAAAGTTGTTCTTATTCTTATTCTTATAAAATTGACATTTAGGGAAATTTGCCCTTTTTAATGGAACCAAAAGATTGGATCGAAGCATCCATTCTATGTAAACGCCTTTGCTGAGCGAGGACTGAAGGAGACAGGGGGAAGGAAAACTCCCAAGTAAACAGGAAGAAACCTCCATCAGCACTGGGCCCTCAGATTGTACTGCCTTGTGTCTCTAGCCTAGTGAACTAGACCAAATTCTTGCTTTGCAAAGTTTGGTCTAGGCACGCTCCATTGGAACCTCAGCAGCTCCTACCAGGACTCTGGCTAGCCAATCACAGCTCTCTAGAGGGGTTTCAAACACACAAAGAGCTGTGATTGGTCCATAATGGTGGGCCAATCATAGTGCTCTATCTGCTTAGTGAACAAATCACAGAGCTTTATCCACTTTGTGGGCCAATCAGGGCACTCTATATGCCTGGTGGGTGGGATGATGCAACAGAGTGAAACAAGAGTATGTCACATTCTTTGTCCAGTGGAATGCGGAGATCATTTGAAAGACAACAGTAGAACCCGCCCCACAGCCAAGAGCCGTCAATGGAGCATGGCCAGACTAAATAATACATTTATTTAGTCTGGCTTGCCAGGCTATTGTGTCTCAGCAAACACTACATGAACTTGTTAAAAATTGTTGGAAGTGGGGTACCGTGGAGGCTTGACTCAAGCTTCATTATTCAAAAACAAGTCATTGATAGTTATTAATCACAGCAGATTTGTAGAAATAAATCCACTTTAGTGACATCCACTTCTCTTAAAGCGAATCAAGTTCAATATAATGTTAAAGCACCAAATAAACCAGTCTTTATTCTGTTACATGAATGCATGTGAACCTGAAATTAATAAGAACACAACTTATTTTAATCATTTATTCTTAAAATAAGCTTTAAGTAAATCTTGTCACTTATCCTTCAAAACCTGATTTATCCATCTTCACTGACTCCACCGTGTTTTCTCAGTCTTTCAGCTGATACATATAAACACATTTTTACTTTGCCCTAAAGTTCTGAAAACTGGTCCAACTCCTAATTTACAGACTGTCTTGGCATGTTTTTAAACTAGTGTCCAGTACGATCCGTCTAAAGGTGAGGTTGATGCGAGAGGAGAGGACCTTCCTCCGAACCGGAACACTGTGGTACCAAAAGGTGTTGGTCGGTGGGTTCATCAGGAGCAGACTTCCATGAGCGAGCTCCAGCTTCACAGGCTCAATATGTCGGCTGCTGTGTTTTCCTCGAGCGTCCCTGTGTCTGAAGACAAAGTCTCGAGCTGCTCCTAAGGAGACTGAGGCGATGGGACAAGAAGGGTCAAGCTCATGCTCGTCATCACGATGCTCCCCCATGTGGTCCTGTCCATCTTTGTACCTGAACCAGAGATGGACATCTATCAGTATCTCAAAGGAAACCCGTGGATTTGATGTTTAGTAAAGTTTCACCTGTTGATCAGGACGAAGTTGAATGTCTGGCCTGTTGCTGTTGTGACCGAGTCTCTGATATATTCTAAGGTTGGAGTCCATGAACATGCTAGACGTGTTACCCCAGAATAAGTATACTCTAGACCTTTGTCTCCATATGCTGCTTGTTTTCTGGGTATATTGTACATCTTTCCAAACACTTGGACCTTTGATTCTTCTCCTGAAAGAAAATAAGTATCGTTTATGCAACCATACTACTAAATTAGGTCATATAACTGCAGGAAAAGGGCTGGCATACCTGTTGAGTACACCACCTCCTCCTCCAGCTGGCTGAATAGGTCATCTGCTTCCCCTTTTGGGAAGAGCATTGCATAATCACAGTCTAGTCCCTCTGCCTCAATTTTTTGCCAAGGAATAGGATGAGAGAACTCTTCTAACGCAGGATCTTCATTTTCCTGTTTAATGCCCTTTTCTTCAAGTTTAATTTTTTTTCTAGGACTTCTTCGTTGGACGTTAGGCCCACTAGTGCACAGATGTTTTTTCTGTCCCTGAAGCAGAAACTTTTCCATAACAGTAGGCTCTGCTATTGGTGTGCTCATGAAAAGATGCCTGCAATAAACATCAAAAGACAAGAACAGGAATTAAATTTTTATTTTGTCTTCGGTACACATGGGGAATATGCGTCTTTAATGAGAAACAGCATCAAATGGAGTGTCTTAATCTACAGCGTGCTCATTATTTTTTAGCTGTAATTTTTTTATTCATATGAATGCTTTAATTTAGACACATTTAATTAAGTTTTTGTTCAGTTTGGAACTGGCTTCAAAAATAAAGACAGAAAACATATTTTGAAAAGGCCCAAACAACAGCAAATGTTTAAAACCTAGCAAAAACGTGCGTTTCTTGAACGCCTCTCAGCTCATTATCATAAATGCTGTCGTCACTTTATTTTGGCGCGACTGCTATTCACGTCTACAGCACTGATGGTTGACTTTCTCTAGTCTGGCACCGTTTTAATCTTTCTTTAGATAAATAACGATTCAGCAATTCCACCGCCGCTCACCGCCAAAGCTATTCATAGGATGATTGGACAGAAGACTATTAATTCATTTTTCTCTCCAGTCTCGAAGAAGAGGGTTTCTAAGGAGTTAAATGACACCAAGGGGGATGCTAAAGAGCTGGTGAGGGTCACGCTTTCAACAGATGAAACGCAGTTGACACTAGGAACGACTGACATTACTAAAACATAACATTATTTGTGTTTTAAGATACTTGCAGCGTCTTTTTAGTTTTTCCTCTGTTGTAGTTTCCCGCGAGAAGTGCAGCGTGGTTCATTCAAGCTGTGTTCACGGTCGCCACCGTTTTTTCAGAGTTGTCGAACTAGATGCAAACTCCTGCTAGCGTAACATGAGCGCGTTAGCGCCGCTCTGCCGACCTTTTTTAAAACAGTTTCCACTACGCTTCTCACCCACTCTGTGTTTTACTCAATACATTAAAATAATTCAGAAGAAGCAGAGGCCTGCTGCGGTTGAGTCTGAGCCGGACACCACGTCCCCTGCTTCCCTCTCCGCGGAGCAGCTGGATCGGATCTCCCGCAACAAGAGGGCGGCGCTGGAAAGACTCGCTTCCGTAAACGCACCGCCAGGGTTCGGAGAGAGCTGGAGGAAGGAGCTGTCGTCTGAGTTTTCTCGGCCATATTTCAAACAGGCAAATAAATAAAAACTGCACGGTCTACTAGTTTGTATTACTTCTAAAAACTTCACTTTTCTACACAGCTGATGAGTTTTGTCTCGGAAGAGAGGAAACGTCACACCGTATTCCCTCCTGTTGAACATGTGTTCACCTGGACGCAGACGTGTGGCAGCAGAGATGTAAGTATAACCAGAGGCTACATGCATCAGTCATGAGTTGGGAATAAAGAGGTGTTATTTTAGAGCAAAAATACCATGTGAAACTCTTGCTCCTTTTTATCACTTTTCTTTAAAACAAAGCTTCATTAAAGTCTCCCACCCATATAATCTAGCCAGCTGCGTGTAGACAGCACGTTAAGCACCAGAGTTCAGTGGCAAACTCCGTTTCCTATTTGATCCAAAACAGTAAGGTTAAGTCTTGTTCTAGACTAAACCAGGTCAGAGAAGGCAGATTTGTAACAACAGCAATCAGACACTAAGGGATCTATTTTTGTTTTTTTGCTACAGAAGCATATTTCATTAAAACAGGAGTATGCAAGAAATAATATGAATCAATTTGAGGTTTTAGTTGTGAAGGCCGTCAACCACTAGCCTAGAAATCTAGACGGACATTAGCAGAAGCAAAACGATTTTGCTCTGTAGGCTAATCAACAACGGTTTCAAAGATCTTGTTAAAGGTGTGGTTGGCTTAAATGTGTCTTCTGATTATAACTGGCCACTCTGAGGTGTTCATGCAAGATGAACAGGAAATGATCTCCTACACCTATCTCCTGCATTAGTTCCTGATAGAAAATAGACTGTGAAACTCTAAGATTTGAAAATCTTCACAGATCTATGTCACACAGTGAATTAGCATTCATGGACTCTCCCATCTTGACCCGCGAGTGAAAGGCTGTTGTTTTAATGTCCGGGAATCATCAGCAGATGTATTGGCTAGATTAAGCTAACAATTAGCATTAGCAACTTCACCGCACAGCAGGAACTCCTCCAGGCATGTGTTATTTGTGGAGATAAAACGTCCATGTTGCAAGTTTGTGGTAGAATCACATTGCTGTCATCCAATCCAGGGTGAGATATCTAAATATCAGAAATGAGACTCCAAAACTTGCCGTCTGAAGCACAGCTGTTATGTGGGTAACTTCAGTTCCTGGTAATGGTGCACCGCAGGGGTGGCGTTAGGCCCGGCTACATGAGCTCAAGCCCCGAATGTTTTATGAAAAGACTAGTGTGTGTGTGTGTGTGTGTGTGTGTGTGTGTGTGTGTGTGTGTGTGTGTGTGTGTGTGTGTGTGTGTGTGTGTGTGTGTGTGCGTGTGCGCGTGTGCGCGCGCGTGCGTGTGCGTGTGTGTTAAGCCCCGGATCTTCTTCAGTCCTAAATCCGCCCCCGGTGTACCGCTATATTTTTTCCCCCTGCGAACAACTTACAAGGCATTCATTTGTACTAGATTCTGCAGCAAATGTTCTGATTAATCAAATAATCCACTCCTTCAAATGGCATGAAGACGCGTCTCTGATTTCAGGTCAAAGTGGTGATTCTGGGTCAAGATCCTTATCATGGCCCAGGCCAGGCGCATGGATTGTGCTTCAGCGTGAAAAGACCCGTTCCTCCTCCACCCAGGTTTGCAATTTTTGTGGTATTTTCCATGAAAGCGTATTATATGTAATGTTCTCAGTGCAAGTGTTCTATCAGCACCAGGCTAATTTTAGTTCAGTCATGTTTTCATGACTCCCAAGTGCTTTAAAGTTTGTTCTTTCTTAATGCTAAATTTTACTTTCAGTTTGGAGAACATGTACAAAGAACTGGCATCTGACATTAAAGGATTTCAGCATCCGGGCCATGGAGATCTGACTGGATGGGCCGAGCAGGGTAAAAATCAGTTTGTTGAATGATGAAACAGCGGGGCATCAACAAAACCTACTTTTTTTTACTCTCCAGGCGTGCTGCTGCTCAACGCCGTCCTGACGGTCCGAGCGCACCAAGCCAACTCTCATAAAGACAAAGGTTGGGAGGCGTTCACTGACGCTGTGGTGCAGTGGGTTAGCACCAACCTGGAGGATGTTGTCTTCATGCTGTGGGGATCATATGCTCAGAAAAAAGGAGCTGCTATAAACAGGGTGTGTTAACTTTATTCCTATTTCAACAAAAGCAGAAGTTTATAACTAATACTGATGCTTGTCTGATTTGTAGAAACGCCACCATGTCCTGCAGGCCGTGCATCCCTCTCCCCTCTCTGCTCATCGGGGATTCTTTGGATGCAATCATTTCTCAAAGGCCAATGAGCTGCTAAAGAAATCTGGGAAGTCTCCAATAGACTGGAAAGCTCTTTAAGTTCTATTTGTTAGCGTTATCTACAGAATGTGTTCAATAACTACCGATCAAAACCACTGATAAGCTTCTGAGTCTCTGTTTCAGTCAAATATTCTTGTTTTAGAAAAAATGTCATCTCTGCTGTTTCATTTTCCTCAAACTTGCCATTGTGCTTCAGAAGTGTTGACTGGGTTCAGTGTTGTAAATACGTGTGTTCACTGTTTTTTTTAGTTTGCACAATAAAGTTTCTTTCATGACTTTTTTTTTGTCTACTAAAAAAATCCATCATTTGAATAGGTTAATATTATTTTTCATGGCTCTAATTAGAAAACACATTGTACATCTGTAACATCTGCTACTTTGGTTTTGTCTTCAATTTTCAATATTTGTGTTTTACAGATTACTCAAAAGGTTTAAGAAAACTTAACTAAATTGTATGAGGTATTAAACAGAATTGGAAAAGGGGTTGTGCTACTGAACATGAAACCTGGTCAGCATTTTGAGTCTGGCACTACTCCACAGGCTAACAATTAAAAGCTCTATAATGCATTTAGCTAACTCATCTGAATGAAGTAATTTTGGATTTTTTTCATTCATTTTTTTGTACTGAATGTGTATTTTAATTACATTACAAGTCACATTTGTGCAGTTTTAGTAACTTATTTGTACTTTTTTTCCAAGCATACACTCATTTCCTCAAGTGTTATAGTTCCTGCTTGAATTAATTATACTAGCAGTTGCTCAAGAGGAAGAGCAGGGTGTCCGGTGACCAGAAGGTTGCAGGTTCGATCCCAGCTTCGGATAAGAGAATTCTGCTGTTGTGTCTTCGGGCAAGATACTTAACCCTGACGCCTCTGTCAGTGTGGCCCAGGGCAGCTGTGGTCACAATGTAGCTCATCGCCATCAGTGTGTGAATGACTGTAGTGTAAAGCGCTTTGACGGTGCCATACCAATGTGGGTCATTTATTTAAAATACAAATTTATTGGTTCAGTTTTGGGGTCTAAATAAGATGGCCTGCATCTTCTGAAAAAAAACTTGGATATCTAATAAGAGCAAAAATATATACTAGACTTGTTTAAGTAAAGGAAAGTTAATCAAATTTGGTCAAGCCTGTCATTAATTTGGTGCTGGCTGGGACTTTATAGGATTAATTGATAAAGTTTTTTAAGTACCACGTTTGCAATCAATAACACTAAATAAAAGCAAGGACATTTTAAATAGAATAAAGATTTTTTAAATATATATGGCTCCTCTCAAGATAAAAATCACGAGGCTCTTCACAAGAACAACAAGCCAATATCCTGATCAAGTGTTTTCAACGCTGGTTTGTTCAGCTTTGTTTCCTTTCCCGCACGCCTGCGTGTAGGCGTGGCCTTGCGTGTGACGCACGTACGTCAAGCGGAAGTGTCGCGACTCTCCCCCGATGCTCTCCCCCCTGGTTGTTGGTAATGAAGGTGCAGTTGGAGAAACAACAATGCCAGTGTCTAGTCTACCAGTTCGAGATGTATCCTTTCAGTTCTCTTTGCTCCAGCAGTATTTGATTCTTCTTAAAAAGTATCCGATACTCACTAAATCTTTCACCAGGTTAGCAAATCTTCTTCTAAACTTTAGTTTTTCTGCTGTAAACACCGAAAAGTAGGAGTTTTATTAGTTACTGACTCAGAACTTTAGTAAGTAGCTGCTTGATTCATATTATGTAGTTTATTATCTGTCTTGAGTGAGTAGTTTGCTTTAGCACCCTTTTCTTTCTTTGCTCTGAGAACATAAAGGTCTTTCTTGCTTCAGCCAATCAGCATCTGCCAGGAGAGCCTCCCCTAATAAGATAAAAAACGTTTTGTCTTCAGTTTGTAATAGAAGCTTTAAAACATACTTGTTGCACATTTCTAGCGTTTAATGCATCCTGTGTTTGTTTTTTCCTGCTTTCAGTGGCATCCTCTCAGCTTTAGGGAACCTGCTGTCCCAGTATGTGGAGGCACGAAAAAAGGCCAAACGTGGAGCTCAGGTCAACGACATCGATGTGGCTGGAGCTGTACGATATGCCATTTATGGGTGAGACTAAACACCAACATATCAGAGGAATTAAACGGATTTAAGGCTGTTAGAAGGTGGCTGTAGGGTGGGCCATATAAACGATATAAGGTAGAAACGATATAAAATTGGGTAATGATTGATAAGTTTTTGGCTATATCGCGATGACACATGATGTCACTAAGATGTGCACCTGCGCCGACATTGGAACAACAGAATGGCAGTGACTGCAAGCATGGAGCGGGAGGAGGAGGAGGAGCATTCTACACTTTTTGGACGTCTTTATTCTGCTGCAATGTATTTTCCCTATGAGGATTTTTAAAAGCATGTCATTTTGACATATACAAACAAAGGAAAAAATATATTGCAGTACATATCGTAATCGCACATGCTTCAGATTATATCGCAATATAGATTTGCGGCCATATCGCCCAGCCCTAGCTGTAATGGCACATTGGAGCAAAAATGAAGAATAAAAACATAAATCTGCAAAGATATTCCAGGATAAACAAAAATGTGGACTCCTTTGTGTTTTTAACATGGGGATCGAGAGTTTATATGTGTGTTTCCTTTTAATATTTGCAGATTAATTATCACAGGACCAATAAGCCACGTCTTCTATCAGCTGATGGAGGTGTGGATGCCCACCACAGACCGGTTTTGCATCATCAAACGACTGCTGCTGGATCGGCTCATTTTTGCCCCTGGCTTCCTGCTCCTTTTCTACTTTGTTATGAACATCCTGGAGGTGGGTCTCAGTTATTATCCACATATAACCTACCTTTCTCCCTTAAGCTTTATCTGATTTTGTTTACTGAAAGTACTGTGACACAAATTGAGTTGATGCATGAAAATCAAGAAATTTGAACACAAATACTTGTCTCCTTTACTTTGGTACCTCATACATTTGTAACTCATGCTGCAAGACGCTGAACCACATAATTGTGTGCATTGAACGGGTTTGCAAAGTTAAATGTAAACAATGTAAGTACTACCTTATTACTGCATTTTCAAAGTACAAAGTGCTTTTTTATCCACATGTTGTATCACCAGTGCATTCCTAAAATTCTGCAAGTTTCTTTTTGTATTCACTAAAACTAAATCCACAAATCCCTGCTAATTTTGACCCAGAATTATTCCTTTCTGCGTCACATTTAGTTGAGAAAAGCAGGAAATCTGCTCGGACAATATTTGTGACAGCTTGATAATTTATAGGAAATGAAAAACTTTCTTCACATCATCAAATAAGTTTTAAGGATTAACATCAGTACAACACGAGTACTGTGTCACACTCAAGCGCCTCGATACATAATTTTATTCTAGTAATTGTAAAATTAAATTGCATTTTTTAACAAAAGCTGTGAAATAAATGCAGTGTATTCATTTCAAACCTCTCCTAGGCCAAAGGTTGGGATGATTTTGAACAGAAGCTGAAAAGAAGTTACTGGTCTGCTCTGAAGATGAACTGGAAAGTCTGGACCCCTTTCCAGTTCATAAATGTCAACTTTGTGCCTGTTCAGGTTTGTTTATTTCACCATCACCCATCCTTCTAACAGAATTAATCTCTCATTTACCCGAGATGTTTCTAATTTCCTGTGTTTCAGTTTCGAGTGCTGTTTGCCAACATGATAGCCCTGTTCTGGTATGCCTACCTTGCATCTGTGAGGAAATGAGGCCATGAGAAGTTTCCTGTTGGGGTTTTGACCAACTACTGAGGGAATATACCCAGCTTCCTAAATGAATTTTACACACAGTAACTCTTCAGATTAACTTCTTACAACAGGTTTAATCCACGTTGATGTGGGACTGTATGTAGAGACTAAAACAAACTTTTTACAAAACTGGATTTACATGAGAATGGCCTGGTGACCTGTCCAGGGTCCATGGTGAGTGAAACTGAGAAAGGCTCTGATGAAACTTAAAATCTAACAAGAACTGAATGATATAATTTGACTGGACTTGTGTGTGACTCTTAATTATGGTTCTTCACTACTTATCTTCAGTGGTTTTTGCAATAATAGAAGCCGCGAAACAAAGTGACTACAAAAATAACTCAGGAAACAATTATATAATGAATGTGGGCCTGATATTTAGTTAACTGGTACTTTAGTCTCACAGAAAAGTCAATTCTATAAAGATTTAATTATAATTTACTATTCTTGAGCGCCTCCTACTGGGCATAAAAGCACAATGAAATGAGAAAGTTGCTTCTTTATTAAGTCTTTATTAAATAGTTTCAGTTTCAGTAAAATATCTAATTTTGCTTAGCACAGTGGAATGATTATTACAATAATTTCAAAAGGAATGTAGATGCTAAACCTGAGCATAATTCAGCCTCCTCTCAGGCGGAGGTTGAGGAAGATGGTGCTCAGATCTCTGACATTATAGTCCACCAGCTTCCCGTCCGTCATCTCCCGGCCCTCGTGGATCAGCCTCTGTTGGCTCTCTGGGACCCCCTCGCTTTGTTGGACCTTCTTCTTGAAGTCCGTCACCGTCTCCTCGGGTTTGATGTGAAAGGTTTTATCTTGTCCCTTCTCGTTTTTGAGGAAGACCTGGATGGTGGCGGGGGGCTGCGTGACCAGCAGCGACACCCGGGAGCCGGACTGGAGGTTGTAGGAGCCCAGGGTCCTGGAGTCGTCGTTCAGAGGTGTCCTCCGTCCGTTATCAAAGACCAGCCTCTGTCTCTGAGCGGGTTCCCCTAGTTTGGACTGGATGGACATCTTCAAAGAGCCCACTGTGTCATGAGGACTCACAATCAGGGAGTGGGATGTCCCGTTCAGCATGGTGATGATTAGTTCCATGATGGAAGTCTGCAACAATTAGAATAGTGTTTATATGAAAAAGGTAATTTATTGTGAAAGCATTAAATAATAATGATGGTGTCCTACCTTGCGATGATCTTAGATCAAAATGAAGTTTCCTTGAGTGTTGAGTGCGGCCAAAGAGTTCAGCTGATCAGCTGTTTATATACAGAGCAGGCCACGCCTTCTCTCTAAGATTCGTTTTCCATCTCTGCCTCGGTAACTTTCGGTTTCTATTCTCCAAACGTTCCCAACCTCATACAGTCTTCACGGCAGGTACGTCACTAATCTACCTGAAAACAGGCGGGGCTCATCAGCTGATCTGTGGGGAAGAAAACAAACCAAGTAATGATTCATCATCAGCTGACATTTTACTCTGAAAGAAAACCGAAAAGGACTCATGAGATGTTCTCCTATAACCACTTAATAAAATAAAAATAACAACAATAATAAGAGCAGGGATGAGCTTCTAAACAGATATTCTGTTTTATTTGAAATAATTTCATGTTTTAATTTTGCCCTCAGAGACATCTCACTCAAATCAAACACGTCCACGTGGAATTCTGGTGTGACCTTAACTCATTTAAAATTAATCTTTGTAAAAATAAAAACGTGTATTTCAGTTATTTTTGGTTCCGTGTCCCAGAATGATGAAAATCCCACATAAAAAAACGTTCATGAAAATGGATACTGAAACCTAAACAAGTTATTATTCAAATGAAACTGAAATATGATGTAAATATATGTAGATTATTATATTTCTATTTCCGCTGATCATGCAAAACCTCCCACACCTGACTGTTGGTTTGTTCACAAAGGATATGATGTGCTGTCGTAGAGTTCAGCTGATGGAAATCCTCTCGGCCCAAGTGGTGCTGCAGAGGATGTCGTCTCTGGCCTCCTGGAACTATTTTCCTCACGCCGCTTCGTTGAATTTTCTGACCCAGCACACCGCCTTGAAGTTGCACTTAACTCACACTATATTTCATTTGTCACACTCTTTAGTAACCTGATGTACAGTCGGGGAGATGCTCACCTCCCAGGTATAGAGAAGAATCCGACCTGCTCTTGCAAAATGCAGTTTTTACTCTCCTATCCCTCCTGGCACCTCCCTAAACTTAGCTGAAGGACATCACCTGTTGTCTTGGTAACTGACATTCCTTTCTGTTTTAACTCCATCTTCCAGACAAAATGGGAGACATTTTGACCCATCTGCTTCCTGTCCCATCTCTCTCTGCTAAGGTTGTAATGACCTGGCCTGTTTCCTTTGAACAGCTTTTAGTTGATCTAATGGGTACCTGGCCTTCACATAACATGTCTCATAAATCAGACATGGGTAAACCTCGGGGTGTACAGACCACAAGTGAATGATTCTGGATCATTCAGTTTAAAGGCACACAAGTAACATAAGAACAAGTAAAATGAATATAAGGATTTACAAATGATTAAAGGGACTTTAAGGAAGTTTGACAGCCAAAACATGTATAGAAATTATACATTTCTTCTTCATACATTCTCCTGCAATGCCCTGGTCCTGTAGAATGAGCCCTGGCATTTTTACAGTGATTGCCTGTTTTTCTGTAAAATCACAGAAAAAGAGAGCTGCTCGGGTCGAGCAGGCTGCTTCATGCGCGTTCACGCTCAGGCATAGCCCGTAGCATTTGCTATCAGTAGCTTTAGCAGCAGAGAGCGAGGCAGTGCGACTTTGTCGCTGTTCCTGACACCTAGTGACAAAGTTAGCCACATTTCTGAGGACCCTTAGCTACTTTCTGTAGAACTTTCTTCTAGATATTTCCTGCAAATTAGCAACAAAATAGCCATTTTCACTCCGAGCCGTTCTTTGAACGTTGTTTCAGCTGTCATCAAGGATATAAATGTCACAGATACTGTAGACATCACTGGCACTTTAACTCACCTAGTAAGATGTCGGACTCTCATGCAAGACCTGGGTTTGATTCTGGATGTGAACATAGTTTATTTAGAGTTTCTTTTTTACATTAATGGTATATTTTTTTACAGTAAGATGCCCAAATTTTTATTTGAGACTCGCCAAAAGGCATTGAATTCACAGATAAAAAAGATGTGGGTTCAACTTTCATTTTGGAACAATTTTTCAAGCAAGGGAAGGGAATGACCTGAGCATGCAGGAGGACTGACCCATCATAAACCTTTGTCGGCTGTGCTGAAGAGAAAGGTACAGAACCAAATTATTTAATTAATTAGCTGCGCGTTCTCCTGTCCTCTGTCCTCCGGGCCACACACACACAAGGGACTGTCTCAGCTGTTATTTTTGTTAAGGAGTGTGCACGTACAGCATGCGCGCCTCGTGCACGAGCCTACTATTGAAGCTGCCGTTACGCTTTTGGCCTGAGGGGGCAATCACGAGCATAAAAATTCAAAACTCCGTAAAGTCCCTTTAACTAAGTATTCTGGATTATATGTGCGATCAAACATATTTTCCTTCATTGTTTACAGCTGATTGTTTTTTATTGCATATAATCAGTAAGATGCAGTTTATAGTCTCTGCCAAAACATGTGACACATACGATAATAGTACAGCCCCAACGTGCAAAAACATCCATCCATCCATCTTCTGAACCCGCTTGTCCACATTGGGTCACGGGCTGCAAGGCAACAGCTCTAACCACTGAGTCACTGTGCAGCATGTGCAAAAACAAACAATGAATAAATATTTCAAAAATAAATTCTTCAGAACTCTGAGTGTTTCAGCATGGCGGTCCTCTCCTCCCTCTTAGGCAGCGGAATATTTCCTGTGATTAAAATAAAAGTTGGTAATTATTCAGCTACAAACAAAACAGGATCACCACATGCACACCAGAACCTTTTACATGTTAATTATTTTAATAAAGAATAGATATAAACAAAAGGGATCACATTTTTATACCTGGTGGTGCAACAAAATATTCTTCCACTGTGTTTTTCGCGAGCTTGAGCAGCTCCTCTGCACTGTCACCTTCCGTTTCTGTGTCATTCCTCAGATATAAAGCTCTGAGCAGATAAAACAAAACATGTGAGAAAGAAATATAATTTTTTTTTTAATAAATCCAAGCTGTTATCCACAACTGTCCATGCTGTACCTGTCCTCCAGGACTGAATCCATTGGTTCAACCCCTGATGTGTCAACAAGGTGAAGCTGATCTGCGAACCGTATGGCTTTCTCCAAACATGCCAGGCCCTCTTTGGTGCGGAAATCAACCAAGGCCAGCCGCTCCAGCTTGTCCACCAGATCAGCAGGGACTACAGCAGGCTGTGAAATTAACAGAGAATCAAACAGACAAACATGTATTACAGAGTCATTACAAGAACATACACAAAGTCAAAGGAAGCTTTAAACTTACAATTAAAGCCCTTTAACTAAAATTAACACATTCCATCGCCTAGTGCTATTGTGCAATTTGGGTTAGGGTTGTGAAGACAGGAAGCTGTTTAAACTTATTTAAAATCAGTGACTTCATTTGATGAGTTAAGTTTATTCATTTTATTTAGGACAGAGGCACCTGAGAGGTAATTGGAATTCTCAATAGTACTTCTCCAAGCTTTAACATACCTACTGCATGCTACAGAAACAAATAATGGACATGCATTATCAGAGCTGGATTGTGTTGATTATAGACATAAATATGTGTCTTTATGGTGTTTACAATTATTGACCGGATGTGGATTTTACCGGAGGAAGTTGCTCTTCTGGTATTTGCTCCCACGAGGGAACCCTAGGCACCTGAGGAAAAAAAAAAAAAACAAACTAAAGTAAACAAACTGGCGACTCCCTGATGAATTTTCTTTGCTGATACCGTAACTAATATTTAAATTTACCTTTGAGTTGAGTGAGTGGGAGCTGAACAAGCGGGTTCCATTTAAAAGGGGTCTCTGCAGACATCCTCTCCTGTTTCTTGACAGATTACATGAAGACTCAATGACTTTCAGTGACACACCACGACACGAGCATAAACCTGTCAGACGAAAAGCCGACATACTGGTTACCTCTACCCAACTAGTTATGTTCTAAATTATATGAAACTGGATCGTTTTGATCCAAGCTAGCTCTCTGCAATGTGAGTCGGTGTTACATCCAAATGTGTCCCTTCTCCTCGACCTGCTGTTACTTCCGTCCTCAGTGAAAAAACATACCAATTTTTTATTTGCCACATTGGATTTCAATGATATATATTTTAAAATATTTTCCACAATGTTCTTGACGCTGTTTTGAAAAGAGCACGTAGCATAACACTGTCAAGGCGTAGTGATATGTACTAACGCACGAAGCTGAAGTTAGGTTCCGATTCATATTTACGAATCGGGAAATGGCTAAAGGGCAATTACACCAAAATGTTCTCTGATCTAGCTGAGAAACTATTAACACATACACTCTTCAAACATGTACAAGATTATTCTAGACTAATAGCAGATTGTGTAAACATAGTTTGTGATTGTGAACAATTTTTCTGAGTTGTGAAACTGCAAGAAAGCCATTTATGCCATTTTTTTAAAGCATCAACACTAGTTGATTCGGAAAAAGGTTTCACAAATCTCAAACTATGTTTTATGTAATCAAATATTAGTGTAGAATAATCTAGTACAGGTTGGCAAAGTGCCGGTGTTGTAGTTATTGCCCAGGACCAGTTCCTGGTCGATTTTGGGCCATTTGCTAAAAATGCTTACATCTGTCTTTCTTGACATTTCACAAATCAGAAAAAGGTTTCACAAATCTCAAACTATGTTTTTGTAATCTGCAATTAGTTTAGAATAATATAGTATAGGATTGAAGAGTGTAAGTGTTGTAGTTTTAGAGCTAGATCAGATTAAAGATGGTCAGAGTAGAGAAAAATTTGGTAGAATTGCCCTTTAGCCACCCCTGGAATCGGAAGCTAACTTCAGGATCTTTGCAAACGTTCTAAACGAACAAGTTTGCCTTTCGCCTTTAACTGTAGAACCTAGAACATACGATCTAACGGGTAATCTTATTTGATCAAATAGAAATAAATATCTCAACACACTTTTTCCATCCGAACTCAATAGTGTTTGTTAAATATGAACGACATCGTGTCGCATGTATGAGCGCCCGGATAGCTCAGTCGGTAGAGCATCAGACTTTTAATCTGAGGGTCCAGGGTTCAAGTCCCTGTTCGGGCGTAGTTTTTCCTGTTTTAATCCTCACATATCACGCTTTAAACACGAAAAATTAGAATACAGAGCAAAAGTCAATTTATTTAATTCCGTTTAGACTGAGAGACGATAAAAAGGTTCTGGAACTCTGCAGACATTGGACTGATCAATTACAGAGTGTGACACTTCAGCACCCATCAATTTTTTGGGTTTGAGAATTACTCTCCCCGGAAGTGAAGATAGAAATATGGAAAAGGTTTCAGATCTTTCGAGTTCAGCTCATGAAAATTAAGAGTAAAAGCAATAGTGTCTTGTTTATATTTTTGTTCAGTGCATACCATATTACAATGAGTACAAATTATTAAGTAGAAAGAATAGTTTTGGCCCTATTAATTGCTTTAAAAAAACAAACATTTGTTTTTAAAACCAACTTCCAAAATTTCTTGGGAGTAAATTGTATAATTTACTGAAAGAGTATAAGTAGTTGCTGAAAAATTTTCCACCACAAAATACATTTAAAGATACCAACCATAAAGGTTGGAGACAAGAATAATTGAGTTTTATCCTTTGAATCATTATTATTATTATCGTTGTTTTTTGTAGCACATGCTGTGAGGGCAAGATGCTCTTCTGAAATAAAGTCAAAGTACTGTAGCTTCATTTATTAATATTTAAAATGGCTTTGTTTGCATTTCAAATGTTTTGATTGTAGTTTTAGCTGTTTTTGGAGAATGTAAACTATTATTAATATTTCAGACATTAATTTTGCTGCTAAACTTCAAAGTCCTCCAGCTGGGGGGCGTTAGGATCCAAAGGGTTGGGGGGCTGGGTGGAAAGGTCTGGTGGGCTGGATGTGGCCCGCCTGTTGAGGTTCACTGATATAGGCTATACCACAAACTGCCTACATGTATAGCATTTTCCTTTTGTCCCATTTTGAATAAAAACATAGAAAAAATCCACAGTACTACATATTTTGGAAAAATAATGATTCCATTTTAATTTTTTATTATAAGAACATATACCATTTAATATAGAGGCTATGTATGTATGTATGTATATATGTGAACTACTTGTATAGAATTTGATTGTTTAACAATGCACACATAGAACTGGGCACAAAATAAAAATATCAGCTTTACAAAGAAAACATGAAATAATTATGAATAAATAAATAAATAAATAAATACTTTGGCATTTAAATGTTACAATAAGTTTAAAACGGGCTAACAGGCAGCAGTTTCAATGAGAAACACTCATAATAAACATAATTAAACTACATTCATGAAACACTTGATGAACACAGATCAAATTTTTGTCTGTTTAAAAAAACGACAAAACATTAAAACCACTTCTCGTACCATCAGATTGTCTGCAGTTCTTTTTGAAAATATTTATCTCTAACTTTCTCTTTAGAGCACGCTTAATAATCAGAATAAACAGAAAACAAAAGCAGTGTTCATTTGGTGACTTAGATTAAACGCCACCAAATGCTCAAAATCCGGTTAAACCAGCGGTCACCAGACGATACGAGACAAAACAAAAATCCAGGTGAGTAAAATGCACCATTTACGTCATTTACAGAAGTTCACTTAATAATGTAAAACAACTTGTAAAGATCATGACATTAAGCTTGTTTTTATGCCCAGACATCCAAAGATTATAATTTTACAAGTGGTAACATAATCCAGGCATTTTTCTCTGAGGACACAAGACTTCATACAGAATGAGACAAACTAGTTTGACAGACAAAGCAGTTCATGAACACTTTTGAGTATTAAATCACAGCTCAAAGGTAATTGATATTAAATTTACAGTGTATGAAGTACCTTGAGCTTGGGTTACATTTCTGTGATACGGAATCGGATTTATGTGTAGAATATCAAACAATCCTTCCTTTGTTAAGGGAACAGGAGCTTGGAAGATAACTCACGACTTTTTCAACTAGTGGGATATTAAAATAATTTATAGCAATCTATTTTCCACATAAATATAGTCTCTGTTTGAATGTTTGGCTTGAAATGTGCAGCTAGAACTTGTTAAAACATTAAGTGCACTCAGACAGGTATACCACACAGGCAGTAAGGCTCATAGCAGCAAACTGTGACTGTAAAGGCTTTGTGTAGCGCCAGTGTGTGCGTGTGTATGTGTGTGGCGGTGTGTGTGTGTGTGTGTGTGTGTGTGTGTGTGCTACTACAGTCATTTACATTTAACATGGAAGGGAACAAAAGGACCAAACAAAAGCAACAATCACTTGTTCTCTATAAGCATTTGCACTTTGCAGACTAAATCTCTGGCCAAGGTTAACGTCTGTTTGATGTTGTGGTGCTCCGCCATTTCTGAAAGACAAAACAGGAGGAACGTTTCATTATTTTTACCACAAGAGCACATTTTCTTATTTGCAGTTTTTCTTAGAGGTTTAGCATTTCTCGCAGGAATGCATGATGTCACCCAACTCTTTCTGTACCAGAGTTTTAAATCACCACCACCTTATTTTATACATCATTTCATGCAAAATCAGAAAAGCATGAAAATATTTTCACACAAAATGTGTTCTGAATGACTCTCACCTCCTACTATATCAAATTTGATCTCAATGTCTATAAAACCTAGCCTAGTGAACTAGACCAAATTCTTGTTTTGCAAAGTTTGGTCTAGGAACGCTCCATTGGAACCTCCGCAGCTCCTACCAGGACTCTGGCTAGCCAATCACAGCTCTCTAGAGGGGTTTCAAACACATAAAGAGCTGTGATTGGTCCATAATGGTGGGCCAATCATAGTGCTCCATCTGCTTAGTGAACAAATCACAGAGCTTTATCCGCTTTGTGGGCCAATCAGGGCACTCTACATGCCTGGTGGGTGGGATGATGCAACAGAGTGAAACAAAAGTATGTCACATTCATTGTCCAGTGGCATGCGGAGATAATTTGAAATACTACGGTAGAACCCGCCCCACAACCGAGAGCCGTCAATGGAGCGTGGCCAGACTAAATAATACATTTATTTAGTCTGGCTTGCCAGGCTATATAAAACTGCAATGAACTAGAGTCTTTTGCATAGTAATCATAGGGTCAAAGAGTTGCAGCGGCAATCTTAAATTGAGCTGACTCTTAAAATTAATCAGACTTAGAAAGTAGTCATTGCTTACACGTCTGAGATTTGAATGAAAATCTGTTAATGACAGATGTTTTGCACACAGATTCCAGGAAAAAACATCACTTGTCTTTGTTTTCCTTATGGCTCTTGAGGATCCTCACATTTATTCTGTTACAGCTGTAAAGCTGTAGAAACACAAGTAGCCTTGGGCTGGAACTTGGGAGTATTGACATCTAAACGATCTCATTGTTCTTTTCCTTGGGCCAGAATGAAATCTGGAAAACACTCTAGCAAAAACAAATATGCAGCATTC